ATTAATAGGAAACGATGCTCTAGGACCATCTGGCAAAGAACCAGGCATCCTGATGATCGGAAATCATATAACTATTATTCCAAGCAGGTAAAACAAAAACTGGCTACGTTTAGATCCCAATCCTATAATTCCTATCTTTCCTCACTATCTGCAAGTGATAACTCCCTCTGGAATGTAACAAAAAAAATCCTTAAATTCCAATCCATTTCCCACCCCCTCCGCCGTGATGATGGTTCCTGGGCTTCGTCAGATGAGAATAGAGCAGAAGAGTTTGCTAAACATCTATCGTACACATTCACTCCTCATCCTGAACTCCATCCCTCCCATACTGCTGAAGTTAAAGAATTCCTCTCTTCATCGATTCCTCTCTCCTTACCTCCTACAGCCGTCAACCCCTCTGAGGTCAAATTCCTTTTAAAGAACCTAAAACCTCGCAAATCTCCAGGACACGATCTCCTTACTTCCCAGATCCTCAGACAACTTCCCAAAAAAGCAATTATATTCCTTACATATCTATTCAACTGTATCCTCCGCACAACCCACTTTCCCCTGGTGTGGAAACACTCCATAATTATCCTCTTTCCTAAACCAAGTAAACCTGTTAATTATACATCATCCTATAGACCGATAAGCTTACTTCCGATCCTTTCCAAAATCTTTGAGAAAATCCTTCTCAAACGCATCCTACCCATACTCGAATCCCACAATATCCCTTCCCATCAGTTTGGATTCCGCTCAAGACACTCCACTGTCCAACAAGGCCTTCGCGTTGTGGACCACATATCCTCTGCACTTGAAAACAAGCAATATTGCACTGGTGCCTTTCTGGACGTAGCTCAAGCTTTCGACCGGGTGTGGCACGATGGCTTGCTTTTCAAGCTCAAAACCCATTTACCTCAACCCTTGTACCTAGTCCTCAAATCTTACCTTTCAAATCGCTCCTTTCAAGTCCGCTGCGGCACTGAACTCTCCAAACATTATCCAATTGAGGCTGGTGTTCCACAAGGCAGTGTCTTGGGCCCAGTTCTCTATATCCTTTTCACCGCTGACATCCCTTCAAGTCCTGATACCTTCCTAGCAACATTTGCTGATGATACTGCCATCCTATCCTCCCACTCGGATCCTCTAATAGCGTCCCAGAACCTGCAAAGACACCTTTCCTTCATTGAGCAGTGGTGCAACAACTGGCGCATCAAAATTAATGAATCAAAATGCAAGTATGTAACTTTCACTCTTCGACGCAGATCCTGTCCGCCAATCCTTTTTAATTCAATTCCTCTTCCCTACTCAGACACAGTCCGATACCTTGGCTTCCTTCTGGACAAAAGACTGACTTGGAACCCACATACGAGACTTAAAAGACAAGAGCTTAACCGACGATTTGGTCAGCTATATAGACTACTAAACAGAAGATCTCATCTCTCAACAGAAAACAAATTATTAATCTACAAGACCATACTGAAACCTATCTGGACCTACGGACTTGAACTGTGGGGGACAACTAAATCATCGAATATCAAACGCATCCAATCCTTCCAGTCCAAAGTCCTTCGAACAATAGTCAATGCTCCATATTATGTCACGAACAAGACCCTACACCATGACCTTAACATCCCATATGTCCATGACATCATCCCATCCAGATTCTCCAACTTTCACCAGAACCTCATTCATCATCCCAATCCTCTAGCGCAATCCCTATCCAGCTCCGAGCATCTATACCATCCCCCTCAAAGGTTGAAACGGCAGTGGCCTCGAGATCTTTTGTAAATATGCCTTTGGAGTCCTGGCAATGGCCAGCTTCTCCACTCATGTCCTGAGCGTCTGTGGCTGTATTGCCCTCTTTCAGTCTCCACTGGCTTCTAATACTAGTGATGCGACTGGAAAAGTGGCACTGGGATCTGCCGGAGTCTTGCTTTGCCTTCCACGTGTGGAGGTAAAAGCCTGGCTCGGAGATTCTTGGGCAAATGTATATATTGTATATAGTTATGATTGTGTTTAGAAGTTTTTATTTTATTTTATTTTTATTTATTTTTTTTTTTTATTATTTTTTTTTTATTTATTTACCTTCTTCATCAGTATTATTTATTTACTTCTTATATTTATATTTATTTCTTTATTATTTGTATATATTGTATGAATGAGAACTTTTAGCCCTAATGCTTATAGCCCTCCAGCAGTGGCTGATTGTATTATTATTCAATAAATAGATTTCAAAAAAAAAAAAAAAAAGATTCCAATGTTTACTTTCTATGTAATCAAAATGTTTATTCAGTGTCATTAGTTCATTGCCGTTTCTTGCAGCACATTTCTTAGTATCCAGCTTTTAATTTTTTCAATATTAAGTTTAAAAATGCCTCTTAGTGCTAGGATGTTGCGCGTGATGTGGCACTTATTGATGATGGACGTTCCATTAGATATGCAGCTAATGCCATCAGAGTTCCATATGAAACTTTATGAGACACCGTCAGGCGTTTTCGGGAAACTGGTTCTTACAATAGAAGGCCCGGTTCTGGACTGCCTAGGGTAACAGAACCACGGGATGACCGGTTTTTGATTTTGATAATTTTATGAAACCGTCACCTTACCGTTGTTCAAGCGAACGATTGCCGATTTCATTGAGGATAGACAACACATGAGGTTCCAAAATCTCATCTACATAGCGAATGGCCGTCAAAGACCCTCCACGAACAACAATCAATTCTGTGCGGCGCTCCAGATCAAGTTTGGCTCTGGGAAAAATTAAAGCATTTCTTTCGTTTCTTCTTCTCCACACCCTTTCACCTCCCCTCTGGAGATCGAAGAGTGAATCTTGACTTATCTGTAAAAAGTACAGCACTCCATTGTTCTCGAGCAAAAGCCAGCTGTGTTACTCTGTCAGTTCTGGTCCTCTTACTGGACGAAAAGCCATAAATCCATACTCATTTAATCTTCTCCGAGCGGTACGTTCAGAAATTTGCAAACCTCGAACTTCTTTGAGCTGATGAATCGCTTGAAAAACGGTAAGGTGCCGGTTTCATAAAATTCTCACAGTCAAAAACCGGTCATCCCGTGGTTCTGTTACCCTAGGCAGTCCAGAACTGGGCCTTCTATTGTAAGAACCAGTTTCCGGAAAACGCCTGACGGCGTCTCGTAAAGTTTCATATGGAACTCCGATTGCATTAGCTGCATATCTAATGTAACGTCCATCATCAATAAGTGCCACACCAAGCGCAACATCCTCAGCACTAAGAGGCATTTTTAAACTTAATATTGGAAAAATTAAAAGCCAGAGACTAAGCTGCAAGAAATGGCACTGGACTAATGATACTGAATAAACATTTTGATTCCATAGAAAGTAAACATTGGAATCTAGAATCATTTCATTGAATTAAGGATTAAGGGTTATTGTCCTCTATATTAACATTCCTAATTGAAAAGAAACAAAAAGATTACCTATTTATTCATTAAAAACAATAGACCAATCCAAAAGCAGAAATATTTTTAGATGAAAACATGAAAAAATCAAGTAGGTGGAATTTTTTGCCTATCAGTGTATATAAGTTATTGATATGATTTGGAATAGCAATAATTAAAATTTTCAACAGATATAGTGACATTGAAATAAGAGAAGATAATGAGAAGTTATTAATGGTTTAGTTTGTAAACGGCATGAAAATAAATCCAAAAATTTTTAGATTAAAACATGAAAAAATCAAGTGGGTGGAATTTTTTGCCTGTTAGTGTATTTCACTCCTTTATTAGGAATAAATAAAGAAAAAGTTTTAATTTTATATCTCCAGTTCTGATTTGTTTATGTGGACCTGGTTTGTCCCATTTTATGTAGTTTATAGGGTCCTAAATCTCTAATAATTTTCATGTGGATAGGATGAGTAATGTTGAAGTTATTGCAATTTTTGTGGTTACCGAAAACAAATTGAAGGATTCCATAGGAGAAATCCGAGCACAAAATTTTGAATGTTTTGATTGTCAGGGAGATTCATAATCAAGGGTTTTTTAAGTTGTGAATTACAAATATTAATTTTGTTTTTCTTTACAAAAGATATTTGAACCCACTTTGCTTCTTTTGTCAGTACAAATTGTCTTATTCTATAGCTATATGAAAAAAAAAAAAAGAAAAAAAAAATTCTCAGCCAGGCTGGTATCAAACAAGATTATGTGCATAAAACCTAGTATGTTGTCCAGATTCAGTCCAAAAATGAAATTAGAGCATGTAATATAAATATTACTCATGACATACACCCAATCCCATTAAACAGCAGGCGAAATACTTAGGAAAAAATGTTTTATTTTTTCAAATGAATGAAAATTTTTATTTAAGAGTTCATAGGTATGAAAAACAAATATTAACTTCGTTTGTCCCTAAAAAAATATTTAATGTGATCTGGATGTCTATATCTTGTATAATATCAACCTTATTGCTTTATTTTAAATTTTTGACAAAATCTACACAACATAGATAGATAGATAGAAAATAAATACCAGGTTTTCTGCATATAATCTTACTTTCAATATCAGTCAGGTTTAGACAAAAATTATATTTGGCATAATAAATAAATAAATATTGAAATAATGATGTAGAGATGGTTGACCGTTGATATAATATGAGAAGGAGTTAGTCGAGGCTGAGGTCAAATAAATAAAAAATTAAAATAATTAATATATTTTAATTTTTTATTTATTTGACCTCACCCTCGACTAACTCCTTCTCATCAAAATATTGAAATAATTTGTACCAACCAAAGGAGGAGCAAAGAGATATCAATATTTTTGTAATGAGAAACAAAGTTTATATTTCTCTCTCCCTCCCCTCAATTAAAAAATTGATGAAATATGGTGAACTATTATGAGAGGAAGTAATGCTGAGCAGATTGATTGATGTCCTTGCCATACATAGGTTTATAGTTAACTAATAGTAATATTATATCTTATCATAATTATAAAACGTAAAGTTTTCAGAGTTTTTCTATATATATTATATTCTTCTGCGTTGTTTTAAGGTGGAATGCTCATGTGTATTGGTTGTGGTGATGGTACTGTCAGGATATTTGATAGAAGATTGCCTCCTAATGAAGCGAGAATTATGATATACAGAGAGCATACTGCCTGGGTTGTAAATGCTAGTTTTATTGACAATAACCAAATAATTTCTGGAAGGTGGGTATAGTTATTGTTTTTAACTTCATTTTTAGTGTTATATTGGTGATATCAAATATAATATGTATATCCATGAATATCTCTTATTTAAATCACTATTTCACCAGGAAACATAGCTGTTGGGAAATTTATGGTATAGACTGCTTACATCTGTTAATGATGAATTAAGGCATTTCTGATGCCAGGCCTGAGGGCATCTGGTTGTTTCTGCTTAGTCTGAGCGGTATTATTTGAAATCTATTAATTTGGGATTCCTATATTCCACATCATATTGCCTATATTCAGAATGATTGAATCTGATCTATTTATCTTCATTAGAGACATATCAGTTATCAATACAAGAGCTGACTGTTTGCAAAGCCAATTTAATGTCTATTATTTCTGATCTGATCCTATTATAGAAGATATGCTTGTTTCCCTTGTTAACAATGGCATGATCATGGTAAATGATAAATTCTAATTCTTAACTGAGGCATCCAATTCCAACTGATTCACTTGTGAATTGACTACATTTTGAAGGTTCCCAGATCTTTTACATTGGAAGCAAAGTTGTAACACCCTTGCAGCCACTCCCTCTTTCTAGTAATGATCCTTTGCATTAGGAACGCAAAGGAGCTAACCAAAACAACAAAGGTTGATCCTTTCTTCCAAGTAAAGGTATAAACTATGAAAATACTCAAAGCACAGTCAATGTTACAATTGAGGGTGTTTTCAGCTAGAGCCTTCATTACATGAAAGAAATTAATAAGGGATTATTTACCATCAGAAGAATCTATGAACCAAGATCAAATGGTTTCATTTTCACCACAAGGAATGCAGGTGGAATGCCATCTTCATAGACTTAGTAGTATTGCTTTTAGACAATTAAAGAGAAGCACTGATACTAATCTTACTCCGGAGGAAATGCTTTTGGATATACTTCCTATGGATCCAAATTATAGTGGTGTCGAGGAGTTACCAAAGATTCATTCATTTTGCCTCAATGTTGGGGTGGAGGCTGATAGCAGCATCTGGATGCGAGGAGAAACCAAAAGATTCAGTGAGAGTTGGACCTGATGGTGAAACTATAGGCTTGCACTCCAGTACTCAATGTACCTCAGGACTAAGATCGACAGCAGTGTCTGGAGACTTGTCCAAATGGAAATTAACTAAACTAAATGGAACTGATCAATCACCACTACATTTTAACATGAATGGATTAGCAACAATATTGACATTAACTTTTACCTATCCGATGATAGGCTCAAAGGTTTGGGTATGCCTGGGTATAGCACCATTTTTATACCCAATCCTAGCCACTATTACAGCATAGCCTGATATCATTTAAGAAAATATAAAACTACTGCCTCTTTGGTAACTTTGAATCTGCTCAATACACTCTTCAAGAGGAGAATCACAAATATCATTTTGGCAAGCTGTCTCCCTTACAGGATTTAACACATGCAAAAGATTTTGGTGCACTCATGGACTGCAGAGGATATAACACTATTGAAACTCTTAAAGCCAAAACCCAAGAGATCTAGGAAAGCTCAAACATCGATCTTCAGGTAGTCTTGCACTGGAACAATCAAAGGCAACTGAGCCACAAACCATTTGTTACCAATGGTTGCCAGTCTTCTTCCCTTGCTGCAAGTGGCTCAGAGCAATCCTCCCCCATGACAATACAGAATAGACCTATTAAAACAACTGCAGCTGGCTGTTTCAATTTAATCAATTTCCAATTTGGATCAGTCATTTTATTTTGAGATATCAACGCAAACAGTTGTAACTGTTGTTTTTTTTTTAATTTAGAAAAGTGTAAAAAAGAGGAAAGGGCGAACAAGTTTGTGAGGGAGGAAGTGTAGAAACAGAGCACACACTAGATGTTGAAATATCAAGCAATAGTAGTTCTTTTTGCAAGCTCTTGATTTGTGTTTGAATATCAACAGAAAAAGGATTGATCTCAAACAAAGGGACACAAATATTAGCCAGAAGGAAGATTCTTTTTACACCCATTTGTTTGCAATGGTTTGGTTAGTATGTAACAGCTTCAGTAGAAAACTTCAAAATATGTTGTTTTTTTTCAGTTGTGAAGCTGCCACTCTCAAACCCATCTGCTAAGTATATAAAGATTCCACCAAATCCCACAGATAAAGCTAGGGAGCCCCAAAGGTTATATGAAGTATGACTCGAATGTTGGATATGACCGAGATCTTTTCCTTGAACCTCAGGATGAAAAAATTAAAAATTATGAAATAGTCGCAATTGGTTGCTATAGTTCCAGGCAACAATCCACTAGCCAAGTTATCTTATCGGAAGTGCAAGGCACCGACCTAGGAAATCATGATAGGTGTCTTCGTTGATATTGAGGTTGCCTTTGATAGAACCCCCTATGACATGATTAATGATGCATTAAGGAAAAAAGATGTGGAATCTATTCTCTAGATGGATTAGGAGGATGCTCAATGATAATGTTTAGGATAATCTTGGATATGCCATTTAAGACAAGATGCAGTCGCCCATTTTGTAGTTTGCTCCATCAAATTACTTGTCCACCTTATTTTATCTTTCAGTGCTTTTTTTTTCTATTGCGTACCATGTGTAACGTCCGTTTTATTGCTAAAACGTTAGTTTAGTCACTTACACATATCTTAATAGGCTTATCAGTTTGATAGACTCATAGCTTCTGGGGTAATCCACTCGATCCTCCTAAAATAGCTCTAGTATAAGCCTTGAAACCTAACACATTGACAAACAATGTGAAAGGCGCTTCATAACTTGGTTACAAGAATTGAAAAATCTTTAGAACAGAGGGAAATCATGTTAGGTATCTTCTATGATATTGGAGGTTCCTTTGATAGAACCTCCTATGACATGATTAATGATGTACTTAGGGGAAAAAAATGTGGACTCTTATGTCCTCTAGATGGATTGGGAGGATGCTGGAGGATAGTCCTAAAATCGGAACTAGGGCATAAGAAACTGTGGATATCCACTGAGAGGTGTGATCTCCCCTCTACTGTGGTGTTTATTGGTTATCTCTTTGCTGGAAACCCTTAACAATGCAGGTATATATACACAAGGATATGCTGATGACATTGCTATCCTAATTGGAGGGAAGTATCATAGTATTCTCTCTGATCTTCTCTAAACAGTAGCTGACATCCTGAGGAATTGGTACAGCACTAATGGGCTGAGCATCAAACTATCCAAACCATTGCAAACACATGGGTATAAAAAGAATCTTTCTGCTGGCTTACATTTGTGTCTCTTTGTTTGAGGCCAATCCATTTGCTGTTGGTATTCAAAGACAAATCAAGAGCTTGCAAAAAGAACTACTGTTGTAGTCTGTAGGTCAGATCCTCCTACCCTGCACTATCCCCTCCTCCCCCACATCCCTATAAATTGCATGTCCTTGTGTTCCTTGTAACTATTAATTACAAAAAAATCAATGTTCCCACAAAAAAAAGTACGAACTGCCCCAAAATGGCGTCCAAACATCCAATTTATTTTTTAAAATTTAATTTCCTTTATTCTATACGGAGGTCGTTTAAGAAGGCCTCTATTGTAATAATTATATATATATATTTTTTTTTTTCTGTGTTGGCCATGAGCACGTCAACCGTGAGCACTAATGGGTCCATTGTGTGCCAATTTCAGTTGGTCGTTTTAATTAAAACGTTAATCTTGTCGCTTCCGCGTACCCAAGTAGGTTGATTGGATTGACCGACTCATAACTTCTGGGGAGATCCATTCATTCTTCCCCAAATACCACCAGTCTCAGCCTTGTAAATCTATCACATATGCATATGATGTGAAAAGCTGTTTCATTCTCCTCCTGACAAAATCTGCATAGCGGATTCGTCATTACTCGGAGATTGAACATATGGTAGTTTAGCTTATAGTGACCTGTATAGATTGCTGTAAGCTTTTGGTTTGAGTCCCCAATTCTTTCCTATCGCTCTTTTACAGGCCCATAGGCATTTGAGGGCTTTACTTGTCACGTTTTGAACGTGTTTAGTCCATGATAGTTTATGGTCCAAAATGACTCTAAGGTCCTATTAACTTCCTTGCTCAGTGTCAATTGGGTACCATTGATTTCCGGCATTTTGATAAATACCTTCTTCTTAATGAAGATATACACATTGATTTTCCTAGGGTTGATGCTTAGTCCATTAATCCTGCACCAATTCCTAAGAATATTAGACACTGTACTGAGGATATCAGAGAGGACACTCTGATGCTTTCCTCCTATTAAGATAGCAATATCATAAGCATATCCTTGTGCATAAATGCCTTCAGTGTTTAGGGCTTCCAGCAATGAGTCAGCCACAAAGCACCACAGTAGCGGAGAGAGCACACCTCCCTGTGAACAGCCACCAGAGAGTTTAATCCACAGTTCCTTGTGCCCTATTTCTGATTTTAGAACTCTGTCCTCCAACATTCTCCCAATCCATCTGGAGGACATAGCATCTATGTCTTTTTTCTTTCGTGCATCATTTATGATGTTGTAAGGAGTTCTATCAAAGGCACCCTCGATATCAACGAAGACACCTATCATGATTTCACTCTGTTCTAAGGATTTCTCTATTCTTGTTACCAAGTTATGAAGCGCCACCTCACAGGATTTCCCTGGTTCGTAGGCATATTGCTTTGAATGTATTGGACTAGTAGCCAATATATGTTCCCGAATATGTCTGTCCAGTATCTTTTCTAATGTCTTCATTATGAAAGATGACAGACATACTGTCCTAAATGCCTTGGGGTCTTTGTAAGTTTCTTTTCATGGTTTAGGAATGTATCGCACCTTTTATATCCTCCATTTACATGGTAGATATCTCAGTGCTAGGCTACCTCTTAGAAGTTCCAGAAGGTATGGCCTTAACTCTGAGAGACCCTTCTGCAGCAATGCTGGAAAGATCTCATCAGTTCCAGCAGATTTGATAGGAGAGAATGAATTCACTGCCCATTCAAGTCTGCTGTTTGTAATCACTCTTCTTGCCAGACCCCACATACGTGCACCAGTACCACGATCCTATGTATTGGGGTCAAGAGGTTCCTTTACTGTCATAAAACAACTTGGGAAATGAGCTTTTGCTACCACACTCAATGTTTCTATTTCATTTGTGGTGTGTTTATCATCATATTTGAGTGTTCCCATTATACCTGTATTGGTTTGTTTTGACAGTATTTTGTTTACTTTACATACCGCTGTCATGTTGTCAACCTCCAGAAAAAACCTTTTCCTAGCTTTTCTTTTGGCTTTCCTGACAGATTTGTGATACTCAGTAAGAGCTTTCCTGTAGGTATCCCAATTGTCAGATGTTTTAGCAGCATTGAACAATCTCCTTATGAGTGTTCTTTGCTTTGTTAGACTATCATTCCACCAGAACACTTTCCTGTTGGTTGTAGTTTTTTTGGCTTCATTACTGGTCAGATATGCTCTAGTCATAGCATTAGTAATTGAAGTATTTGAACATTCTAATTGCCATGTTTTGTGGATAACTTTGGGGCAATATCTAACAGCCTCCTCTAAGTTAGAACTATAGGACACCCAGTCTGTACGTTTGGGATCTCTATATTCCACATCATGTTGTATTCTGCCAGATATATCAAACCTGATATACCTGTGTTCCGAGCATGTTTCTTCATCAGAGACATGCCAGTTATCTATAAGGACACTAGTCAATCGAGTTGCTAGGCGTTGATAGGGATAAGGAGATCTGGGAACTCACAAGCAGTGGGTAGGGCACTACACTCGATCATTCCGCAAAGAGTTGGGGAGATTCCCGCACCCATCTCCCTCTCTAGACCTCCCATTACACTACCCATTAGCCTTCCTAATAATGATATAATTATAATAATAAAACTTAATTCAAAAATACTTTGCTGAATATCTTGAATTTTTTATTTAACATTTGCAATTTAACACTTTGTTTTGTATATTTAATGATTCTTAAAGATAATTTAAATTGTATATACTTCCCCAGAAATGAGTCGTATTAATACCTGTTTTATGAACTGAAATAATATATTCCTAATCTGAACTACATGTAATGAATAGTTGATGTAAAATTGATAGTAAAACTCATGAATCACTACTAAAAAAAAAAAAAATTTATTTCCTTTATTTTGTTCGAAAGTTGAACCATATCATAAAAAAATAGGAAATATTAATATTAAATGCATTATTCTCTCTGCATTTCAATCAGTTCCTCTAGGTTACTGGAATTGATTGTTAGTATTTGGTCTCAAAATGAGGGTAAGGTCCTTGCATCAGGTGATGTTAAAACAATGTTGGGTTAAATCTTCCATCTTGAAACTGCAGCATGACAGGTTTTGCATTCTGAGGTATAGAATCCTCGGTCACTGAGACCTGATAATTTCCCTAAGACAGGGGGATGCTCTGAACATGTCTTTCTCTTATTACTCTACCCATTTATTCACCTCATGAATTATTATGTTAAGATTAATCCATATTAGTGAAATATTAAGTTCTTATTTATATTGTTTTGATAATGTTTCTGACAACAGATTAATACTATTAATTGTTAATGCAAGTTAATAACTATTTACAGTTCTTTATACTTAAAGTTTAAATAAGATTTTAAATTATTAAATTGTATTTATTAATATAATATTTTTTATTTCCCCATTTCTAATCATTTATGGTATTCTAAGCAAAAATCTATTTGTTTTAGCACTAATGGCGATGTGCGGAGTTATCTTCTTAGTCATCATCATTCACAAGTTGTATGCCAGATTCAAAATCAAGGAATGAAAGCTCTGGCTGTTCATTCTCAAGCTGATATTATGGCATGGTATTTGAACTATTCATTAATATACTGTGATTTTTAATGTTTAATGGTTTAGGCCTCATTTGATCTTTGCATCATCTAACTCTAAAAAAGTGAAATCTATAAATGAGTAAAATGTTGTAAATCTCAGATAATATTGTCTGGGCATTACATTAAACCCATATATTGATCTCACTTTCAGGATTGGATGATGCAAACATTAATTTGATGCTATAATAAAAGGAAAAAGGTTGTGCAAACTATTATGATTGCTGACGCTCCTAAACAATGTCCCTTAAAAATGACCGAAATTGATAGGCATTATAAAAAGGCCTCTTTGAGAAGAAAAATCTCTGCAGGCATGCGGATTATTAGAAGTGTGGCCTGATGTCATGTTTGGTATACATTGAACTCGGTGACCTATGTCCCAGAAACACTTCGACTGGGATGCACAATATTAATATATAAGGGCAAAGGTGGTATAAACAGTATCTCTACTTGGAGACCTATCACCATCTATTCTATTGTGTGCTGAATCATAAAGAAGGTTCTGGACCATGAATTAAGAAAGGAGGTCCTCTTCTACTGGAATCAAAGAGGCTTTATAAAAGGCCTCCCGGGAACTCACGTCAACACAAAGATTATCGACGCTACATTAAAAGATGCAAAAAGGATGAAAAATGATTATGCGGTAGTCTTCCTTGACGTTGTCAGTGCTTTTGACAATGTTGGCCACAATCATATCATGTCCTTCTTAGAAGCAAGAGATATGTCGCCGGATCTAAAAAATGTTATATCGGCTCTCCTCTGCATGAACATTATCAAGATTAGTAACGGTTCCCACGCTACTAGCCAAATAAAAATGCCCCGCGGAGTGCCCCAAGGCTGTCCTTTGCCATCTTCGCTCTTTAATCTGGTCATCGAACATCTCTACTGCAACCTGTGCAACGAAGAATTTTCCAAAAATTTGGGTATAAGCTAAAAAGTGACCCAGGTTGTGTGGTCCTCATAGGTCTCGCCGTATCGGCATGTGACAAGGAGGCTGCAGAAAGAGTGATGCTCTTCCTTGAGAATGGAGAGTACATCCAAACATTGAAGAGTGGAGACACAATTAAGTATTTAGGATGTACATTCTCGGGAGAGCTACTGTTCAACAGTCTGGTTCCCATGTTTTCCTTTTTTAATCCTGATCACTTCTTTGTTTCCCACATTAATCCCTGATGATCTCCTTAACTCCATTCAGAAATCCTATACTAACGATTATGGTTCCGATAACATCCCATTCAGACTGATTAAAGCTGCACTGCCATCAATTCTTCCGATCCTTTATCATATCTATAATTATTCTCTTCAAAATGCTACCTTCACTACATCCTGGAAAACCGCCCTAGTATGCCCCTTGAAGAAGACCTCTAACCCATCAGTTCTTAATGATTTCCGTCCAATTTCTCTTCTATCAAATCTCTCCGAACCTTTAGAGTGACTAACCCAATCCCAGCTATCCTATATTTTAGAGCACAATAATCTCCTAAACCCCTATCTGTTCCCTGGTCTTACTTACCCTCTCCAAACTGCACCCCTCACAAAGCTGCGTCCTGCCATGCTTGACAGCATTGACATTCGATGAAAAGAGAGTTTGTTCATAAGGAGAGGCATGCATATATATTACAACATTTTTATGTTATTTATTGAACACATCTACTGTATTTGTATATATATTTTTTTTTTTTATTGTTGTGCACTTTTGTATAATTTGTTATCAGAAAATATGAATTAGGTTAGGAAGAGAGAAAATATGAGGAGGAATAAGAGTAATGTATAAGGGGAGAGAAGGAAAGAAAGGGAAATGGAGTGTTAATAAGAAAAAATAGTTCATTAAAAAAAATTGTTTACTATGCTTGTATATATTGATGATAATGTATATTATTAGTTTTAAGAATTGTCCACTGTATTGATTGATAAGTAAGTATGCTCTGTTTGTAGCTACCCAATATAATTTGGTAGCACTCTTTCATGAAAATTAAGTGATTCTCTCTAAGAAACTTAGTCCCAGAATAATAAAGAAATTTTTCACTTCAAATCATTACTCTCTTTAGTCTGATCTCATTCCCACCAGGTAGTCCCCCATATATTAGGCAGCCATAATCGAAATGAGCAGAGAAGGGACTAGGAGCTGATGGGTTTTAAGGGACATAAAATCACAGAATCTCAGGAATCGTTTTGAGAGTATAGGTTATATAAACAGATTTTTGAATAATTTGGGAAAGATGGATATTTCAGGACAATTATTGATCAAAATTTACCCCAAAGTTTCTATCAGAAGCATGGAACCTAATAGATAGCCCATTAAGGTAGAATAGGAGATAATAAGGAATAAAATTAAGGAGATGCTTAGAATGAATGAGAATAGCGTTGCTTTGTTCAATGTTCAACCTTCAATCATTGCTTGCTGCCCATACATTTCTACTGTCCATATCTTCTTGTAGCTCTTGGATCACTTCAAGTATCTGAAATACTCAACTTTCTCATGATATGTTGTAAAGCAAATGATTTGTTGAGTAAATCTCTTAATTCCGTTTTAGTAAACTTTGCAATGTAAAATAACAGTTTAATAACTAATAGTCATACAAACCATAATCAATGGATCATACAATCCATAATCATTGGATCGTATAACCCATAATCAACCGGTGATGTAATAAATAGGACTTTTGTTATTTTAATGGTATTTATGATTTGTTAGCTGTAAGCTTTAGCTTTAGCTCAGTTAAAAATACAATAAATTATGATAAATTTAATATTCATTTTATCCAATTTATTCTTATAAAGTTTATTATGATTATTATTTTGTTTTTATTATCTTGTTAAATTTTGTTTTAGTGGAGCCATGAGTCAAATCCATATGTATAGGCGTAATGGAAATCATGTGAATACCTTGAGATATAATGCTAATGAGTGGTTTTACGCACCAAAGTGCGGACCTGTTGGATGCTTAGAATTTCATCCTTCAAGATCTATTCTTGCTGCTGGGTCTGCTGATGCTCTTGTTTCCCTGTATTCTATGGAAAATAAGAGATGACAGGTAAACCATACCACTTTTTTTTTTTAAATATATAGTGTAATCAGTTACATTTTATTTTTATTTTCAATATCTGTAGATTTTTTTACTCATTTTTTGTAATCCTGAAGAAGAATTTTTGAGTGATCTTAAGTTAAATTTGAGACCCATATTTGCTGTTTTTTTTTTTTCCCATAATTTTTGCCAAGCATGAATATTTTTACTTTCACTTACCTATATATAAAATATATTGGAAAGGAAAGTATTGCGATCGGGAATATTTTTGAATGTATTTGTGTGTGTGTGTGTTTGTGTGTGTGTGTGTGTGTGTATGTGTGTGTGCGCGTGTGTGTGCGTGCGTGCGTGCGCGTGTGTTAACAGTTTAACTCAGAAATGAAAAGTCTTATGAAAGGGAAATTGCATGTTTAAGTTTTTATATGCTACAGATGCTACAGCAACTTTTTCATCAAAATCGGCTAACAGAAGTGGCACTTCATATAATGGAGCCCTTATATAATGGAGCACTTTATATAACAGCCCTAAATTAGTAGTTTTCATTGTGATTGATGTTCTCTAACAGGGCTTAAATGGCTAATTTTCCATATTAGCTTTCCCTTAAGTACCTTTAATTTTTTTTATGTGAAACAATTTACCATTTCACATTAAGCTCTAATATAATAGATTGTTAAATATAAAATATGAAAGAATTTGATAATTAACTAAAAGATAAATAAGAGATTGTAACGGAGAACAGTTGTAATTGAGTTTAATAAAGTTTATTTGAGTTACAGTAAAAATAGTCCCTGTAAATGATACAAAGGAATACGAGCGCACCCAAGCTCACCTGAAAGATTAGAACACGCTTCTATTCGTAACATGAGCTTAATATCTTATGGACTCAATATTATATAAATATACATGTGTGGTTTTCATAAATGCTATTGTTGGTATTATTTAATACTTAAATAAATAGATTACAGTGATATAAATATTAAAATTTGTGTATATATATAAGGATACTTATACTATTAAAAATACCCACAATGAAATATAAATAAATATAGTGGCTATAATTTTTCCTTTCACTTCCCATTTGTCTGAAAATAATTATTTCTGCTAAGTGAAAGTTGTGTGATGCATCCACCGCACCAGATTTTTATAAGTTATTATTATAAATTAGATCTGCCTCATTCCAAAATTCCTTTATAGCCCGCTCTGTCAACTTTTGGAATTCCCTCCCGATCAAAATTCGACATGCCCCTTCCCTGTACACATTAAAAAACCTCCTATTCCAATTCCTGTTCCAAAAACAGTCAGATACCAGCTAACTATTAATATTATATATGTATTGTGTAGCAATCATATAATCATAATACTTGTTAAGAGATAGTACATGCATTTCCTACTATCGACATAGGAATTTCAATACATACATTTTTTTTTTATTCAATTATAATTAACTGTTTATTTTTATATATATATATATAAGTTTTTTGTTTTTTTTTATGAAATGAACTCATTATATCTCTTTTTCGTTCTTCATTTCTCAAAGTGTATGTTTATGTTGTTCAACCCTTAAATATAATTTTGTTCATAATTTTAAATGCTCTGTACATAGTTTTATCTGTATTGTATATAGCTTGTGCACCTAAGGTTTTCTTTACTTTTTATTTTATTTTATCAATTTTATTTATTGTTTCAACGTTTAGGCCAGTAATATTCTAATATTCTATTATTTTGTACATTATTGTTATTCTGAAGGGACTTAGTCCCAGAATAAAGTTTTTTTTCCTATCTTTCTATCTATAATGTGATGAAAATTAAATTTTAAGAATCCCTAATAATAATTTAAAGAATTATGATTTTTATAACATTAAATTTAAATAATTTATGTTTAAACTGAAATATACTCGAAATCAAAAAGTTAGAGATTGTTACTTTAGTAAGAAAGCAGCTGATTGCATTGTATAAAAAAGATCATCCACCAAATCACAAGTCATATTTAGACTTTCACGATAACTAAAGCACAAAAACCAAAAGTAGTGACTAATAGAAAACAAATCCCTAGTTTCATAAACCTTTCTAAGACTGACAATAAAACTACTCATATTAAAGAGACCAATCAAACTTACGTATTTCTCTAAACAAACAATTATTACTCCATCCAGTGAAATCTCATCTCTACTTGTGCCAGCTTTAGATATTTGGCTCCCCTGGGGAACGAAATTATCTTCCCCTTCTACCGCTGTGGAATCAGTCTTAGAACTGCCAAAAGAAAGATCAAAAAGCTATAGCTATATAGTGCAAAGTTCAAATGGTACTGGTCTGATAAGGAACAGCGGCACTGGAAGCTGTTCTTTAAAGGACCTTATGACAAAAGATGTAAACTGCTACTGAATTTGGATAGAGCAGCACTTAAAAAACTTACAGCAATCTATATTTGTTAAATTATCCCATGTTCAATCTCCAATTGACTAGGAATTCTCTATGCAGATTCTTTCATGAGGAGAATGAAACAGCCTTTCACATCGTTTTTCAGTATGACAAGTTTGGAAGTCTTTTTGGAGCTAACTCGAGCTATTTGGGGAGAACTAAATGTACAACCCCACAAGCTGTGAGTCCATCAACCCTCTAAGCCCATTAAAATACTAAATTAACGTTTTAGTAATAAACTGGATCAGCATTGGAGGCGGGGTGGCCGAATAGGCTAAAGCGTGTGCACAACACCGCTAGTTGCCTGGCAACCGTACAACAGAGATTTTGAGATTTTTTCAAACAGAGATTTGAAAAAAAAAAAAATAAAATAACTGGATAAGTACATCGCGCAAAATAAATCCTTAAGGGTCACGGTGCCTTATGTTAAAAAATTAAAAAAAATCACCTAAAAAATATAATTTATTTCATAAGCTGTTTTATATTATGTAATACTTGGATTTTATTATATTAAATATTTCTTTTATACAGCTGCTTTATTAATAGGCTAAAATTTATTATTTCAATATGTTTTGTATTTTTTTTTTTTTAATTCTTAACAATTGGCGAGCGCTCCTCATGATCATCACCCCCAAATGGGATCCATTTAGGTTGGCGCTCTATGGCAATTGTTCAGGTTGTCTGCCTCTAAGGCCAGTATTGATCTCAACCAGTTCCTAACCGATCTAGCACTCAACACAAATCTTCAACTCCCAATACATGTCAAATTTAATCAGACAAGGATATTTCCATCCATTCCAGATGATTATTGAAAAATCATAAAACTATTAAATTAAGAGCTCACAATGCATCATGCACATATCGGCTCCAGAATGAAAAATCATTTTAAATCATCATCAGAAACCTTCATTATACTATTCATAAAAAAATCATAGATGCCAGGCCATAATGATACAGAAAGGTATTGTAGTTTTCTTGCCAAATGTGTGAAGTATATAGTTTAGTTTCTTATGTAGTGTGCAGAAAACTAAAAAAATAGAAAAAATAAATTTCTTCCATTTGTGCTAACTGTAAAGGTGTTCATCCAGTCAACTACAAAGGATGCACTGCATTTAAAAGTTTAATATATCTTAGAAGCAAACAAAATTCCAGTTAATTATTAGAGGTTACAAAACATCTGAACTGATCATCCAGATCACATGGCACAAACTGCAATCATTAAATCACCGCTTACTTCTTGCTGTTCTGTAAATTTCCAACAGTACACCAATATTTTCCTAGATTTTTCAATTTAAAACACCAGCTCAGTGTATATTGCTATCATAAGCTCTAGCCACGAACAAATTAAATAGTTTTTTCAACAATGGGAAAATCATTCATTGCAGATGGAATATTTATGCTAAAAACACAGAGTGGGGCTTTAGTAATATATGTTCGCGTTTGGAAAGGCTACATATATGCATCAAAGATTTGAAACGTGTAATTTCTCCATCTCAACCTACTTATTAGCATACTTTACTATCAAAGTCTCCTGATCTTCTTGATTTTTTTATATAATGCTCCTTACCTCCATATCATCTGTTCATAGGACAGTTTTATTGAAACTATCAAACAACTCTTTTGGTAAACCTAACACCCCCCCTCCCCAACACTAACTAAAGGGTACATAAACTGGTACAACTTTAAAAAATTTGTGAACATCAAAATTAAGTTAAACAGTTACCTTTACTCAGCATTCAGGGTAATTACAGCTCCAAAGTCTACTCTTAACTACAAACAAATGTTCAGGCATTAGCAGTAGGCAGAGAAATAATTTCAATAAGCCTCTATCAAATACCAAATAGAAATATTTTGTACTCTTGCCATAGAATTCCAACTTTTGCATCTATTGCCCTTGTAAACCATTTATTTGACATCCAAAAGTGATTTTATATATGGAAAATTAAAATTAACACAACTAAATCAACCCACATAAGTTTCTTTCTAAGGAAAGCTTTATGCCCACCATTCACAATAACCTAATGCATAATAAAACCTATGTGAAGTTCCTTGACTTTACTAAAACAAAAGATTTACTTGGAACATGCATATAAAATTAAAAAGAAGAGAACTGACTAGACAATATAATTATCTCCCCCATTTTTCGGACTACAAATTCTTGCTTAACTTACCAAACACGAGACTAATCTGCAATACTATACTGAAACCGATTTGGACATACAGTGCAGAACTTTACGGTTTAGCAAAACTAACACACATAAACAACACAATAAAAAACTCCATGAAAAACTGTTTACGCACCATATTATACGAGGGTGGTTTGAAACGTTTCCGACCTAACAAAAATACAAAACATTTTTTCTGATTTTTTTTTTCTGTTTTTCAACGTAGTCTCCCTGTAAATCTACACATTTCTCCCAGCAATGCTTCCATCTCTGTAACCCGTACTCGGCATTTTTCTTTGCAAAATAATTGTTCACGAAGGTGATTGATTGCCTCTTCATTTGATGAAAATCTCTGTCCTCCAAGCAAAACTTTTAGATAAGGAACAAAAAGAAGTCGCTTGTGGCTAGATCTGGTGAGTAAGGTGGACAGTCAAGCAGTTCAAACTGTAATTCGTGGATTTTTGCCATGGCAACCGCTGAGGTGTGAGACTTTGTTGTCTTGGTGAAATTCGATTTTCTTTTTCTGCAAATGTGTCCGTTTTTCCACAAGTTCTGCCTTCAGCTTGTCAAGTAATGATGCATATTATGCTCCTATAATGGTTTATCCTTTTTTAATATAGTCGATTAAAATAACTCCATGACTATCCTAAAAAACAGTCCCTATCACTTTCCCAGCCGAGAAAACAGGATTTGCTTTTTTTTGGAGCCGGTTCCCCCTTTGTAATCCACTGTTTGGACTGTATTTTTGTTTCGGTCGGAAACTTTTCAGACCATCCTCGTATTTCAAATCACACTATACATAACAACTTACACATTTCAACAGTAAAATTCCACATCCTTGACAAATACTCATTTCATTCTATCTTAGTTCTATCAGAAAGAAAATAGCCCAGGGATCTTCTGCTTCATCGTTAGCTAATTTTTTTTATTTTTTCTAGGCTGGTAACTAGCTTGGAATAAGCTGCCTGTTGCTCACTTGACCTTGGCATAGCCCCTGGCTCCCGCAGTGAGTCAATGATTCATCTCTCTTTCCATATTGACATGTGGAACATTGTCTGAATACGTAATGTTTCCTTTGTCATAATTTGTAAAAGTTTAATTTATAATTAGACAGAAATTTTATTTTATAATGCCACAAAATTTTATTTTAAACTTTATGGATAAGTGTAGTGAATGCTAGATCATGTATGAAATGAGTGTTCAGGTCTATTGATAAGCTGAATACATATTATTTTATTGCATAGTGTGTAATAAGAATTAAACTTCATTGTGAATAATGTTAGACCTTTGAACATTCATTCATGAAATTTGGTTTTTATTTATATAATTTTAATGTTATTTAGTCAAGCAACAGAAATAATCAAAACTGGGGATGAGCTGTTTCTTCCTCGGTAATTGTTTAGTGAGATCTAGAGGATTCATACTAACTGTGATCAATCAAAGAATGCAATCCCCATTATTGTGATATTTTTAGGTGTTCTATTAGTTATTTATTATATCACAATTGTCTCTGGATTCCTCGCAAACAGCTTCTATGTTTTCTCCTCAGATCATTTATAATTCATTTTGTTGCTTAATCTTTGTCTGATTAGTGCTTAGTTCTGTTTTATTTTAGTAATATTATTCCTTGGGTTCATCATAAATGAATATTCCAATATTGTTATCATTCAATCTGAGTCTGACATTTTAAAAATAATACTTATTTATTATGTTTTATGTTATTTAATGGAGGTAGTTATCATTGGTTATGTTAGAAAAATTTCTAATTGATAGGCCTATTTTATAGATATCGGCCTTTGCCCCGATTTATGTTTCTCTCAGATGATGTATAGCCACTGTTTTAAAATCTAAAGGATCAGTACACCTGTGAATATATGATGGCAGCAATGTTCAGTTTTAGTTACCATTGCAACTTTCTTGTTGTTTTTTCCATTTTTTATGTTCCTCCCATGTTTTATCCATGGTCTACTTGATAGAGATATGTTTTATAAAATTTGCAAAAAAAAAATAAATAAAATAAAAAAGCAAAATAATCCTTTTTCTGTTGCTATCATTTTGCTTATTTTTAGGTACCTTCCCCATTGTTTTTGTCTTTATTAAGTTGTAATAGTGTAAACAATTGTTCAGAAAGTGCACTATTGATCCCTGTCAGCATAATGGTAGAACAAACAGGTGTAAGGTATCAATAAAAGTCCAACAGATAACGGGTAATAACTATAAAACTTGATAGATTAACTATTTTCTAACATTGGTCACTAATTTGAAATAGTACTGATAGAACATTTCTAGATGTGGTGTTATGTATTAATGTATACTTTTATTAAAGATTTAAATTATTGATTAATGACCGCTTTACAAGTGGAATCATTAGGTAGATATGTAAATATTTGTATGTATATATAGAACCAATCATTGGCAATTGCATTATGTTAATGCGTTTAATTTAATCTATAAGTTGTTCACATTTTAATCAATGGATGCTCTAGTCTTTCAGTCCCTTACTAGTTCATTTATTTTGATTTCTTATTACCATAATATATTATATTGAATGCAATTTTGAATGAAGTAGTTATATTAAGTAAGTGCCATGTACAATAATTATAACTATTATTTTTATTATGAATTAATCATATTAAGTAATTATTTAGTTCAGTAACTTTACGATGAGGCATACAGTTTATGAAAAAAAAATACATATATATATATATATATATATATATATATATATATATATATATATATATATGGCTATATCAATGATTTTTTAAAAATATTTTTTTATGTTCAATAAAATATTTAACTTCAGTTAAGGTTTACTTGAAAAGAAATCTCTACAGGCTGTTTTACAATTTTCAATCCCTGTCTATGAAGGGGATATTTATCTGATCTTTTGCTGATATCTTATGTGTGTTTGATTGGTAGGATGTACACTGTAATGTACATAACTTTTAAACCAGCTGCTAACAAAGTAAAAGATTACTATATGATTGTAAATGAAAACATAAGCTTAATAACAAAATAAAATCATGAATTGAGTATAGGTATCTACATTAATATCAAGGATCCATTTCTGACCAAAAATTTTGTATATTGCTTCATATACTTTTCATTTGATTTTCGCTGATAGTATAATTATAGCTGTTCTCTTATATGGAGTTTTGTTATTCGAAGTTTATTGGAAGCAGGCAGTTCATTAATATAGTTCATTAAAACACTTATTTTCAGATGTAATTAATCATTTGTTGGTATAATTATTTCTAAAAACAATTCACATAAGTCATTAAATTTTAGGGGGAAAATGTTGGTGTGCATTCAGAAGCTTAGGTAGGATAAATAAAATTTAATGGCATAACCTTATAGTTTAACGAGTAAAAAAGCCTTAACCCTTAGCTAGGCCACTGTAATCAATGAGTGCCAAATTCATTACTCAATCTGTTGTTTCTGTTAAGTTCAAATGAATTTGAATATTCTTGTCATTGGAGATTCTGCTACATTTTAATTGCTCAATTTTACTCTGGCAAGTGAATAACTGTTCACGTTTTACTACTTTCTAGCTCTTTTCATCAAATATTTTATATTTGTGAAAAACTAGGCAGTTACTTATTAAAAGCTGGTATATTTTGTTTAAATGTTTGTTTTATACAGTGTTTCTACCTAAAAATGTGATTTTGTAATGTTGCTGATCTACATTTAGGTCAATTAGCATTTATCAAGATATTAAGGTACACTTCAGCGATTATTACAACCAAAATAGGTCAGTAGAACTCTAGAAGCAATTAATTACATTGCCTTTGTGATTCAAAATGAAATAAGATAAATTATAAATAGAAAAAAAAATTATCGTAAAATTACTTAGACTATTCACTTTTTTTTTTCATCCTAATACTTTGATTATTCACTTACACTTTACATTTTAGATAATACAATTTATATTGTACAAAATATAACTTATTCCAATAATAAGTTTTTGTAAGCCTCCCTTCAAAAATTGTCCTTGACATAATAATAACAAAAATTTGTTTGAAGCTATTAGAAAGTATTTGTGGTTCAGTGGATAAACATCTATCTCATGTTTAATGAGATTAATATTTTATAAACTGATCCTGTAAGTGTTAATGTTAGAATAGCATATTGTTAATGTTTACATCTTAAGAACAAGAAGTTATAAATTGAAATAATCAAATAAGTCGCCAAGTTTTCATCAAGTAAGCAGAGCTTTCTCAGTTTTTTCATATACTGTTTGTTGTATTATATTATGACTTTATTAATTAAGTAATTTGAAATTAGTGAATTATTTATTGTATGGGTTCACTTATTTTCTTTTAATTTTTATAAACTCAATATTTTTATGATATATCACTGTTGCCCACATTTAAATATTATTTTCTTACTGTTATTAATATATATTTATTTTTTTTACATCATTTTCCTAGATCTTCAATACCTATCGATTTTGGGATCCACTTTCTTTAATTAGTTACAGAAAAATAATAAATGATTTTTTTTTTTGTTAGTCATATAGATATACAATTCAAAGTGAATAAAATCCATTCATATCGCTAGTTTATTGCAGTAAGTCATTAAGCTACATTTCACAAAATTCAATTAATGAGAACTTGATGAATTTTGCTTATGGGAAATCAAAACATTGTATACCTGTTGTTAGTATATTTGATTTTTAAAAGGGCTTATGTGCCTTTTGGTGGGTTCACAAATTTTTGTAGTGACAATAAGGTTAAAATTTGCCAAAATGTACTTGAAAGTTCTGCTCCACCAAAATGAACTTTGTCACTTATTGCAATAAACTACCAATATATATCTTAACAAATTCCAGATTAGTACCTGTTATTGTTTGCTAATATGTATCAAATTGCAAAATCTCATAGCATTGTTTTAAATATGGGCTATTGGCATTAATATTAATTATGTTAATAATAATGTATGATACAATACATGTGTACGTAAACTTTTTTTTTAAATTGATACATGTGTATGGATTTTAATTTAGTTTGAATAATTAAATTTTATATTAGATGCTGTTTTTGATACAAGATATCATTTCTGATAATCATTTAAATCTTCAACTGTTCTTTTAATACTTTCAGTTTTAGAGATATTTAAACTTTCAAAAAGTCTTTGTAATGAGTTTTTAATGCTATGATTTCTATCCTATTTTCACTTGAATTTTTTATGTATTTTAATTTTTTTTTAAATTATAATTGCACTAAGAGGTACTAAAATATTCTTAAACACCAAAGCAGAGCCACAAGAACAGTTGCTTACCCAATAAACGATTATTTTAATTATCAGTTTTTGTATGACACTACATGAGTTCACATCGAGGACATCAGCCCATTGAGTCACATTTAATTTGTCTAGCTGACTGAATTTTAGCATCAGTTAGATGGATTGGGCATGCCTTGACAGGCTGATATCTTTAGTATGAGTGCTCCCTAATGTTCTCGGTCTCATATTTGGTGTGTTCAATTTATTGTATTTGTTCACTCAGGTATCATCATTTGTAATGTGTGTTGTGTTGTGAAATGTTCACAGAAGTATTAAGACTGTTAAAAGGTAAAGAAAAACTAATTGGAATAATTAACTTAATATTTCTTTACATGTATTTGTTGTTGGAGATACTTAAGTATCTATTATTATAGTTGTACTTAGATATATATTATTTTTTATGTTTATTATAGCTAATAATTTATCTATGTTTATTTAATTGGGATATTTAATTTATATTGTATTTATCTCTATTGTTATAAATTACCTAAGTCATTTCATTTCATATTTCATACCAACTCAGTTGCATAATAATACTCTTGCTGCTAAGTCATGTTTACAAAGAATGGTGGTCAGTTGTGAAGATGATTATGGCTGTTTTATAAGTTTGTAAATTATTAAGTTATTAAATCATAATAGCTAATATGATGTAAGGAAGTCTAAGAAATTGTAGTGTTGTTAAATCTCGCTTCACAGCCTAACCCACCATTCTCTGACTAAAGGTATAAAATCTGTTACCTGTCATTTCGCATTTTGTCAGAATTAATTAAAGATTATTCAAATCCAGTAATTTAATGACCTCTCTTTTTAAAAAATTTAATATCAATGAAATTCATATTAACAATAATAATTATGAAAATACTTAGCAACAAGGAATAATCTATATAAGGCATTCATTACATGAGTCTACTAGTTGGCACCCCTAGTAGGCTCATGTACTACTACCATCAATAACTGAACTTCCTGTGTTTGGATAATTTAACTTGAGAGGCCACAGAAATTTAAGATAATCTTTCAAAGTTCGCCTAAATTGTGTAATTAAATTAATATTTTACTAATTATTGCTCATTATCAATTAATTACTGACTCTAAGGTTGGGCTCATTTCTTTCAGCTAATTTGAAAGTTTGGATGTGCAAACCTGTCTACCTACCCATTAGCAATGAATCTGAGGGAATCATTGTCATATTTTCCAATCCCTTAGCCATCAAAAACAATAGTTTTTGTTGAGTAGTATGTTTTGGTAATGAAAAGAAATTGGTTGTTGTTATTACATTCAACAAGACTAAGGAATTCTCAATTTGTTATTTTTAATGAAATGCTCTTTCTAAGATGTTTACTAAAATGTTTTGTCCCTTATATGTGCCCCAATATCTGGGATGGATATTTATATCTATAAAAACATTGATTTAAGTTAATTTTGAAAAACTATTTTCAAGTATAATTCATTTATAAATTTGTAAAGCTCTTATTTAGCAGCATTCAAATTATTTATGGTAATAACCATGAATAAAAGTGGCTCTGTAGTTTAAAGTTGTTTATTTTAAGATTATGCAAGAGTAACACTATATTTGAGATAACTACCTTCTTCTCTGTGTTAATTAACTATTGATGTTGGAGTGAATTCAGTTTTATTTTTCTTTAAAATGTTCATATTAATAAAGGAAATGTTGAGTAAAAGCATTAATTCTATTAGAACTCCATTCTTATAGATTATTTATGTCATATGAAATAACACAAAAATAACATTCTATTTAGTAAATTTAGCTAGATTTATATTTAAAATTAAAAATAGGGCTTCTTTTCCTTGAATTCATATTTTGTTAGTATTTTTTGTAATTAACATTATTTTACTCCAATACATCACTTATAATAAATAAAAAAAAGGCTTATCTATCAATAAGGCAATATTATTCTATTTGTTTCATTGGTAAAATAGATGCAATAATTAGATTTGTAAATAGGTTTTGCATAAGTAAAACTTGTTGATCTCTTACTGGAACCATTATGCCTATTTGATTGTAAATATTTTTTTTTTCCGATTCTAACTGTAGACATGTTGCCTATTCGTATAGTAAGTTCTAGAGAATTTTTTTTATGCAAATCTAAAATATTCATTAGCTGGAAATAATACACCAAAGTAGCAATATGACAAACGACAGCACTGATTTAATGGTATTATTTTTGTGAACTAGAAATTTAGATGAATTTGTATTTAAAAAATAAAGTCATTTGAATTGTTATAATTTTGTTTGTTGGTTATAGCTTTGACTTCATCTATGTTTCTGAAATGGTGAATAGATAAACATTTTTCTATATTTTAAATTTAGGAACTTATGTCATGATTTTTTAAAGAAAATATTTTTGTATAATAAAACTAATATTCATCATGATGTTTTAAAATGTAAACTTAGACCAGGTGAGGAATATGCAGCATTCCTGATACCAGTGCCTAGATACTGAAATTGTACATTAAATCTCAGTTAATAGATATTCAACAGCATATTGTTTTTGCCATTATTTTGAAAATAAATGATATATTTTGTAATCTTTATCTTATTTCCTTTTGTTTTGTTTTTTATGAAACTACTGAAACTCAACACCTCTCTAATCCCCATCATATTATTAACTAGTTGGTCCCTTCAAATAATTCGTACAGTTTGTTGGTCAGTGATCAAATGAAAAATTAATAAGAAAATAAAATAATGATACATATCAAAAGATGGAGAAATCAATTCTTATTTTATCAATAATTATAATCAACAAAGGACATGGTTCTCTTATATCAGAAAAATTGGTTTCTATATAAGAGAACCAAACGATCAGAGCTATCACCTAGAATAGCCCCAATGCTGCTAGAAGACCAATGGCAGAAGTCAAATAAGTCAAGAGGCATTTAAATAAATATATATATATTAAGTTAAAGATAAGTTTTGTTAGTATCTAATTTAAAATAAAGAATATAAAATTTTAACACTATTTCCTATAGTTACATTCTTGTTCTCATCTCTGTCAGCTATAAGGACATTCCAAATCAAACAGTGTCAACTACAGGCGCAACAAAAATATTCTCTAAATTTACAATTTTTTAAAATCTAGATGGATGTTGCATAGATTTGAAATGTCTTGGTAAGGTGAGTTCTATAAGATGAATCCAAGAAAAATACAATAACATCAATATTCAAGTTTCTACTCATAAAAGTTCAAAGAAATTTCTTTAAACGTGCCATCTAATGGTGCATTTATCTTAAAAGGATTGATAAGGCAATTTAATGTCCAAAATGGGTATAGAACGAACATTTCAATGTCACCAGAATAATAGTCCAGAGCTCTGCACACATGGCTGCTATATAATTATTCAAATGAACTTGAAATTCATATCCATAGTCCAGATTTAAATCTCATCGAACATTTCTAGATTTGTGTCAATTCAAAGTTCAGTAATGAAAATATAACACCAGTTAAATATCTTAAAACTAAATTTTTGGAAGAACGGGAGAAAATGCTGTCTATTGATTTTTAAGATTACCACATAAACGCCCAATTGGCTTAAAATGGTACAAAAAAAAAAAAAAAAAACTTGCTACATTAAAAATATTAATTTCAAAATTTGGAATAAAAAAAATAAACAAATTATTACATAATATGAATGTGTACGAAAACCTATGTCAAATAGAAAGTCTTGTTTTATACTTAAATGTTTATTTAAAATATATGTATTTTAATAAAATGAATAACGGTGATATTAAAGTCATACTTAGACGATTAAATAAAAAAAAAAAATGTTAGAAAGAATAATTTTTATTGATTTTTTAAATTTCAACCAATGCATGAATGAAAACTTTCAAATCTCTTTGTGTATTGCGCTCAGAGACTGGAGTTATATGGTTCGAATAGACTGATGTTACAATGTTTTAATTTCCTACAGGGTTTGTGTTATTTTGATGGTCTTAATGAGTTTTTGCATTAATATGACCAAAATTCAAAATGTGTTCTTCAAGGTTTGAAAATGCACTTCAAATTCTTTTTATAATCAATCCATTTTAATAGACAAAAATTTCTCTTCAACGTAGAGCGGTAAGTGAAAGTTATGTGATGAAGGCAACAGAGTTTTATAGGCAAGAAGGTATGATTTCTATACTGCCCCTCTAATCAGGAAATATTCATATCTCTAGGTATATATATATCCCTTTCAAGCCGAGATTTTAGCTATCGATTTCTGTGCTCAATCACTTATAAGGGAGGGCATTATGAATAGATTGATAACAATATATACAGATAGTCAAGCAGCAATTGGGGCCCTGAATAGTTACACAAATCACTCTAAGTTGGTGGATGAATGTAAAAGCAATCTTAACATTTGTAGTACCAACAAGGTGAGGATAGAATGGGTAGCTGGGCACTCAGGCATTCCAGGAAATGAGAAAGCTGATTGCCTTGCTAGGAAAGGCTCTGCACAAGTGCCAGTTCCACCAGAGCCCATCTGTGGGATAAGCCTTCGCTTTGCCAAAGGCAATCTTGAGTAACAAATTTAGGCTACATTGGGAACAGACTAGGAAATGAACTCATTCTAAGTTGTTTCTAGTAGGGCCCTGTCACAAGTAAATCACTGAGAAGTAAATCACTTCTAATGGACAGGAGTACCATTAGACGTGAGATAAGACTGTAACTGTCAACTAAATAAGCACCTGTTTAATTTGGGTGTAAGTGAGACCTCCACCTGCAGGATGTGTGTGTGTGGTCTGGAGGATAAAACAGCCTAACACATTATTAGTAGATGTAATAATTTGGCTAGACTGCGATACTTTCCCTTTGGATGTGATCGTATCACTGACCTTAAGCACAGTGAACTAATTGATCCTGTTAGTATTAACAGGTTCGCAAAGGCATCTGGCCTGTTTTAATTGAGTCCAGGACGACAAACAATAGGCTTTCTTGAAGTCACGGTGCATTCTTATGCCAGAAAAAAAAAAAAAAGGTCAAAAAGTCTTCTCTGCAATACATCCCTTATGTGCTCAATAGGATTGAAATCAGTAGACAAAACAGGAAGGGGCAGATGTGAAATGTCCAGATTTTCTGGATATTGATGAACAAATTTTCCTCTGTCGACCAGAAAATGGAAATCTGTGCCAATCATGGTCCTGATTTGAGGTATATATTCCTGTTTAATTTCTTGTACATATCGAACTGCAATGAAATCACCTTCCACAATATGGAGTAGAGTCCATGAGTAGATTGCATTGAATGAAACACAACATGTGGCAGTGTACCCATCCCCTGTTCTCAGTAGACTCTTCGATCGCTATAAATACAGAAACTTGTCTGTTAACATAACAACATTCCAATTAGTATTCTTATCTATGTGCTCACTCCACCATGATCTGTGAAGTTGCTCATTACATACTGTTGCTGTAGGTTGTCTTAAAGGACTATAAGATGTTCGACCAACTTCCCATAAATGATTACGAATGGTTTGTGTTGATAAGGGCACAATATGAAAAAGGTTGCAGTCACCAATATTTCTGTCATCCCTTGGTGCCATAATGTGCTGAGATCCACTAACAGGTCTCCTATTGGTACTTACAATTTTTCTGAATTAGCCCGCTCAGCCATTCTGTCCCTCGATTTCAATAAGTGTAAGCATTTGTGGTTTCACCGGTAGTGCAAAAATTATATAACATAAATAATCTGTATATTATTTCTCAAAGATATTTTTTCATTTTTATTCACTTATTAATCTTAAATTATTCTTCATCGGATCCAATGATTCAGCTATCATTTAGAAGATTGTCTTCTCTTTCAGGTGGGAAAATAGTCACACCACCCCAAATTTCAGGAAGTTATGAAGACACTCAAAAAGAATATAATTAATGGTTGATAACATCCATGATTAGTATAACATATCTGATTAGGAAAAAAATACTATTAATTTCTAAAAATAAATTCGTGGGTGATAAATATTCAGTACGCAGTCATTATAAACTTTTTATCAGTGCTCGAACCACACCCTAATGATGACCCACATGTTTGGGTTGAAACGTCGGCACTAATAAAAAGTGTCCTGATAATGACTGTGTCCTGAATATTTATCACTCACGATATGTAGAACAGTCGACTAACTTCCTTCAATAATTCATAAAAATAAATTCATATTACATGGTAAAATAACAGGTGAACATACCTAAAAAAAATATTTTATTTAAACAAGCTGGGAATAATTTGACAAATATAAATATCACTTACAAGTAATCCAGTAGGATCTTTTCCACTCTGATTATAATCGAACAACTTAATCAATTAAAAAATCATTGAGACTAGTTAATTCAAAGTTAATATCATCCGGCAAAAAATCATTTGAAATTAGTTTTTAAAAACAAATGAATTAAATATCTTTAAAAAGCCTACAAACCTGTTGTATATGTTTCCTTAACCAAAAGAAAACATAAGGAATTACAATTACACAATCACAACACATTATTTCTGAACAATGGAAGCTAAGACACTTAGATTTGATATCATTGAGATGTCACTTAATTAATCATGTAATATCTAAATTAATGAACAATATATCGTAAAATAAACAAAAATATATCATAATTTTTAAACAAAACTTTTTAAAGGTAATGATGGATCATAATTCACAAATTTATCTGAATAGCCCCAGCATTGCTAATTTCATAAACCACAAATACAATGGTCTAAATTAATAGCTATACAGTCCATTAAAACCAGTGAAAATTAGCACTTACTTAGGAATATATTTTACTTTAGGTTCCTTTTTCTGTAATAAAATAGTTATAATACACAAAAATATTTTTTAGTACATCTATAAGACAATGGTACAATAACTTTAGATCAGGAGCAATCAATTGGTCTTGAAAAGATCAAGGTTACAAGAGACCTTGCTCATTTATATAGAGAGCCACTACACTTAAAATACATTAATTACATTCTCCTTAAAAGGAAGAGCGTCAATCAAGCTAAATATCTAAATGAAAATTACTTAAAATAAATTTGGTTTACAAATATTACACATGGAGAATATCACATCTCCTAAAGTTATTCTGGAATCACACCAGAAAGGACAAAGCAAAAGGTACAAGGATTTGTTACAGGTGAAGAACAAAGTCAAGTATGACCAAAATCTTTTCCGCTGGCCCCTATTTCGCTATGTTCAACTAGAAGTTGCAAGTTCTGTAATGGAACTGTTTCATCTGGAGAAAAGAAAAACAGAACATATGTTTGAATTAGCTGAGATCTAATAAATAATATTCAAAATAATATACAATAATATAGGTCTACAAACTATATATCTTACAGTAGTTAAAAAAATCAAATCAAATAAAGTTGTTCAGCAATGATATCGATAAGATTTTAGGAAAAAAGAAATGTCCTGCAACTCACAAACAAAGTCCTACAACTTTGGGAAGGGAGGAGGAAAAATGATTAGGGCAAAACAAGGAAAAGAGAAAGATGGGAGCAGAAGTCTCTCCCACTCTTAGCAGGATGATCAGGCTGCAGTACCCAACCCACTGCTTGTGAATTCCCAGACCTCCTTATCACTACCAATACCTGTCACCGCCACGTTGGTGTCCCCCAGGGGTCTACCTTCTAAAGTAATATCTTTTCATGAAGCTGCTGCAGATTAACCTCCACTACTATATTGCTAGATGTGGTGTTCTACATCAGTAACTAAAAGGTGAGGAAATTGATTTTATTTTAATACAAGAACCTTGCCTACTTAATAAGAAGATCATGGCATTGGGTACTATAGGTTACGGAATAATTTCCATAGCTGACAATACCAGGGTCTACATGCGATATAGGTAAAAGTTAAAATTACTGCATCTTTGGTAACCTTGTTCTAAATTTGGCAGCAGCAAGGTATACTCCACCATGAGGTGTGAAAAATATGTCAATAACTATAATGGCAGGTTATCTATACTATGAGCTTATTGATTCTACTCCCGAATTCGACATTAGAATAAAATAGAAAAATTCAATTTATTCTAGAACTAAGTCCCTTAAGAATAACAGTAATAAACTAACTTGAATGGGTGGAGATTGCAGACATAGGAAAAGTAGTGATTGATGATTATTTGGTAAAGGAATGTGCCTAGAAAGTATTGGATTCTGGAGGATGAGAGCTACCCTACCTTAGCATAACTGTGGGAAACACTGGAACATCTCAGTCCCATAGACAAATCTTACCAAGCTACTCATAATTCTTTTTAGTCTGACTCCAAGAGATAACCATATAGCACAAAGCCTTTGTCGAGGTGGGGGAATTTGAGAGAGGAAACAAGGAATCGAATCTAAGTGTGGGTTTAGGTAGGAAATGGCAGTAATGATGAAACAGTTTCAGGGTGCAAATTGATTAATTGATTTCAGAAAAGGCTTTGGTCTATTATAATTTTGTAACTAAGGAGCTGAAAGTGATGGAATGGTCAGTTATGTTTAGGATAGGAAAGTTGGATTTTAGCAGCATCCCACCTTAATTTATTTAACCTTGTCCAGGTAAAGATTCTATTATCTTCTTGAATTTTGGCAAAGGCTTGCACATATGACTCAGAGAGATCTCTTTACATCTAAATGTTTTACATCTTCCTCCAATACTTGAGTAGAAAGACTGCTGAGGGAGGGGATCTGGAGGGTTCATAGAGAGAAAGTTTGCGGAGAAGAAGCCATTTTGATTTGTCTCATCAGATCCTTGTTGTTTGTGTGAGGTTGGGAAACAGCCAACCTGACCCTAAATGCTGTCTAAAGCGGGTCATGTTTCTTTTGAAGATCCTTGATTTTTTGAGGAGAGAATGGATATCAAGGACACAGAAAAGATTTTAAGATTACCCGCAACTCCCAGTTCAGTCATGACTTTTTAATAAATTATGTGATAATTAGTTTTTATTTAATTGGTATGTTTTCATTTATTTTATAGATTGATTTGTAAATTTTGGTTTTTATTGTTATTAATTTTTATATCCTTAATTTTTACATGATTATTATTTTTAGCCTTGTGAAGGTACTAAACTGGTAGCAAGATAAAATAAAGAATTATATACAGGACGTCTTTTTATTCTTTGTTTATTACTATATCTGTAAGATGTTTCGATAAATGTACTTCCCATCGTCAGGAACATACAATACTATTAATAGTTGACCTTTTATATTTTATAGGAAAACAATATAGGATAAAAGAGCATAAATAAAAATTTAAAAATTCCCGTACATTTCCCGGCTTGAGAAATTTCTGTACAATTGTTGGTTTTCCAGATCGCTGGAAGCCCTGAAATAGTTAATATAAAACTGTGATAGTCAGTCTTAACTTAAAACTGTCAATTACCTGTTATAGAAAAGTTAGGGGAAGCAAGCTGAGCTATAGTAGTAGAAAGGTCAGGTGCTTGTGCTGGCACTGGTTTGCCAGCAGACATTCTTCTTACTTTATCTTCCAAACATTCTAATTGAGCCTGTAACTTTAGCATATCTCCTTCTCTTTGGACATTGATTTCTAAAAGCTTAGAGTAATCATTCATTCTCTCCTATGATAAAAGTCAAAAATAAAAACAAAGTCATTAAAATAATTAATTTAATTTAGTAACTTACATTTAAAAAATAATTTTATATAGTGGATGATAAACAGTCAGGACACAGTCGTTTTAAGATTTTTATTGTTATCGATGTTTCAACCAAAGCATGTGGGCCATCATCTTGAACATCTTGGGAGTACTTCAACATCTTCAATGCTGATAAAATGCCCTAACGATGACTCACATGCTTGTGCTGAAACATAAGCAACAATAAAAATCTTTAAATGACTGCGTCCCGACTATTTATCACCCATGATATTTAGAGCAGTCAACTTTCTTCAATAATTCATAATTTTATATATATTTTTTGTGATTCAAAAAGAAAAATTATTTGATGAAAATAAGGTATAATAGTAAATTACTTATAGATAGTACTTTAGTATATTTGAGACTTATCATATTGCATTATGCATTTTTATACAGTCAGATTCAAATTAGACAAACTATCCAAGAAGGAAATCTCAACACCAGTGAAGAGAGTGAGCCATTCATTCAGGGTACTGCAATCGCTTTTTAAACAAGGTTTTCTCTGAATTTTTATTGCTTTATGAAACAATATTGGATATAAGGCTCTAAAATAGCCCATTTCATTTGTACTGACCGAAGAGAAAAGTGGGTTCAAATATATTTTTTTAAGGGAAAACAGAGTTGAGATTTGTATTTCACATAACGATAAAGCCAATGATTATATAATTCCCTACAAAATGAAAAAAAAAAAAAAAATCATTGAAATCAGACAATTATTTTATTTTAAAAGTACAATCTGCCACATTGAAGGGCAATAAGTAACAGGGCTAAATGTGTTCATACCATATATACATATATTAGGGAAATAAAAAAATAAAAATAAATAAAGAATAAATGAGTAAACTAAGAAAAAGAAAATATAAAAATAGAATAACAACCATAAATGAAATAAAAAATAAATCATCTTAACACATTCATTAGACAATTATTAGCAAAGATGTAACTTATTGAAATTTGTAAACATGTTGGTTCCAAACATGAATGGAGATTTAAATTATTTTTTGTTTCCTTTGTTGATTAAAATTAGCGAGAAAGTAACAATTGATTTTTCTATCTTAAGACCCGTTGCATTATTTTAGTTTCGTATTAATTAGTCATTTGATTACTGAACAATATACTGTGTGAATTTTTTGCACAGGCCAACTTTAACTAATAGCTTATTACCAATTAGACAATTTCAAATTTTTTTTATTTTTTTTATTTAGATATATAAAAAAAAGAACGAGCTCTGTTTTGGAAAAAAAATGTGAGAAAATACAATCCAAAATGTTTAGAAAGAATATGTGAGAGGTTTGAAAGTATCGTGTTTGGCAGAAGCACAAGTAATGCGCTACAACAGACTCAGGCACCTCTCCAGCCCCAAACACAGCTTTTAGATGCAATGTTATTCCAAATTTTTAGCTAAATATGAATTTTTTTTTTATTGTTTTAAAAATGCAGTCTCACTCTTAAATACATTTTTTATCACTTGAACTATATTGCAGCTCAAATTTATGAGATTTTTTTCTTTTCCATGCAAGTACCTAATCGAAGAATGAGGCTATAAGATCACTTTCATATTTCAAAATTTCTCTTTCAGCCATTTTATATGACATGATAAATAAACATTTAACTTGTTTTTAAATTGCATTATGTATTCCTTTTCTTGAGCATAAGGAGTTATTACAAAAATACAAAACCTCAGTATTTAAGGAGTCAGCAGCATGGTCACAAAAGATTATATAGTAATCACCCAGGAATGACATGATATGATCCCAATGAAAAGAAAACACCAATTTTAATATAACAAGGGATAAGCCTGCAAAATTGTGGTTGAGAACAAATAGCCAGTTATAGTTTATAGTTATAGTTAAGCTATTTAACATTAAGAGAACGGAGGTAACAAAATAAACTGCAATCTCAGTAATCCTAACTAATGCTGCAGGAGTATGTCTGGATTTAGAAAAAAATGGATTACTAAGATTACACTGTGTCAGATAATAAAATTCATAGTATAAGAGGAATATCTATAAATATTAATGTTATTCACCTTTATTTGTTGGTCACAATCCTTCCTGATATCTTCAATATACTTTTTTTGTTCAAAAGCTAATTGCTCTCTCTTGGCATATAATTCCTCAGCCTGCTTTAATTTATAGGCAGCTCCTTCAATTTTCATAGAATCAGCATTAACTTTTCTATTCAATTCTAAATAACAAAAATATAGAAGCATATAAATTTAGGAGAAGTGGAAGTTATTTTTATTTATTTCCAAAATCAGAGGTATAATATAGATTTAGAACTCCAATCTTGATATCAACAAAACATGCATCAAATCTCATTGATATGAGAAATCCTTCAAAGTAATTTCAAAAGTGTGGAATTTGAATTAGAAAACATTTGTCTAACTTGTTTCTGTTATAAATAATCCAAACATAATTAACCAAGAAATTAACAGCAAAATAATGACTGAGAATTGAGCCTATGTAAACTTAAAATAAGTTTAATAATAATGTAACAAATAGGTTTTAGACAAAAAATAATGTAGGAATGAGGATCAAATGTTGTTTTTTATTATTAAAAAAATAAAATTGAAGTCCTAACTAACAATATAAAAAAATATATACATTAATTCAATAGTCACCTATGGAGTGAAAACTTGATGTTTGTTCCTAGATGATTCTTGTAAACTGAGAGTAATCAAAATAAAAGTTGTAAGAAAGATTTACAGTGCAACAAAAGCTAATGATAAATGAAAAATTAAAAGAAATATTCAGATTGAGAGTATATTAGAGAATAAGAATATCATTCATTGTATCAAAGCAAGTAGGCTAAGACGGACAGGACACATAATAATGGAGCATGAAAGGGCACATAAAACAAATTTTCAAGGTGCACTTCAGTGAGAAAAGTGAAAGAGAAAGAAGATAGATGGAAGGTTAAAGTGAGAGAGATGAAGCCGGGAGCTCGCATTGGAAGAGAGAGGCACAGGACAGAGAGAAATAAAAAATTACAATTCTGGAGGCCAATGGTTACACTGATCTATCCATTAGTATACATCTGATAATAAACTATACACTTTTGGAAAAACTTCCTTGTTTAAAAACTTTAAAGTCCAGAATGATTAAGATGAGTTTTCTTATCCAGTTATACGTTGAAAAAAAAATCTAACTTACCAAAAAAAAATGTAATTTCTTTTTTTTTTTTCTGTACAGAATTGGACCACAGTTAATAAAACTTTTTTTGTATTTCATGATCTTTACGATCACCTCTTTAAATATTTCCCTTTAGTTATGGAACAAAATATATTCATACATCTACATGATGCCCCGTAAGTAGGAGGAATACTTAACGGGTGATAGTAGACCTCAAGAGCTACAAAAAAGTTCATAAAAACTTGTTTATAATAATGGTCTAATTTTGTGCAGAAAATTATGAAATTTGAGTTTTTTTTTTTTTCTTATTTTTAATAGGAAGCGATAACTACAAAAATATTTAATTTTTTACTAAGAAAGAGTTTGTCATTGTTAAAACAATTTAAAGAGAGCTTTTGAGAGGATGAACTACATTATCTTCTGTTTGCTTTTAAAATCAGGAATTATTTGGAATTTTTTTTCTTCACTATTCAACTATACTGTAGATCCCCCAGTTTAATAAGCCTACCTGCAATTGTGCGTTCATAAGCATCCATTTTCATTTTCGCTTGTGTGTCTGCATTCGCAGTGAGAAGTAGATCATCTATCCACGATTTTAACCTTAACTCAAGTTCACCAGCTGACACTAAATGATGCTGAAGGTTAGCCAGCTCTGCTTTCATTTCTGCTGCTCGCTGTACAGCAAGAATTGCATCCTTTTTCATATTCCGTAAGTCAAATACCTCTGATTCTAGCTCAGCATAGCCCTGCAAAAATGAATGAGGATATAAAAAAAGTATATATATAATAATAATAATAACAAAAACATAAGTTCATGCTTGAATTATCTGAAAGAAACACAAGATATAGTGGTAGAATTTATGACATGTTTCCTAGCATAATAAAACCAAAACTAAATGTTGATTCAATCCTTCCAGATGGAAAAATAATTTAGTTTTTAAAACTAATATAAGTCCTTGAGTGGCAATATATTATATTATTGCCTTTCAGAAATCTCCCAGATTCCTTTTGAAGACTTAGGGACACCAGGTGACGATCACTGGCTCCAGCAAAGCGGATTATTCAAGGATGTCTACTTCCTCTCACTTTCCCTCACGGACCGCTCATTTATAAATAGAAAAATCATGTTTATTCTGGGAAAAAGTCCCTTAAGTCTTACTTAAGCTTATCACCGCCGATGATCACTTGTGAAATAGGTGAAGTTAGCACTGCAGATAGGAAGAAGTGTCAGAAGAAGAGAATACTAGGAAACTAATTGGATCATGCGGAAACTTCATCATTTTGAGGAACATTATCTTTGCTGGGTTAAACATTAAAGTTTGGAATACATAGAAAATAAAATGAAACTTACTTTTGCAATAGTTTCTCTCTTGCGTCTATCCTCTTTAAGGTCCTCCTTAAGCTGCTTGACAAGTTCTGTAGCCTCTTTTAGTCGGTTTCGCAGACTAGCATTCTAAAAAATAGAGATTATTAATGCTAAATATTGTACAGTTAACTATATTTAATAACAAATCTGTTTTTAAATACTTGTTCTTCCCAAAAAGCAACACTCCGCTGATGCTGTTCTTCCTCTTCTTTCGCCTCATTCCTAAACCGTTCCAAATTTTTATGCAACATTTCGGTTTCTCTTTGAAGAAGTTGAACTTGATCTCTCTGATAAAATATATACCAAATATTATAGCATGATATCAAACTATAATTGGTTCATTAAGTTAAACTAAACTGAAAGAAATTTATGTTTACTATGGTATATAGAAATTAGATGTTAATTTTATTTCATTAACTAAACAAAAAGGATGGTTAAGGGTTAAAGAAAAAATAACAAGAATAAAAAAATGTTAAATATTCGCAACATAAATGTGTCTTTTTGTCATTATTAGCAATTATTGAAGAACAGAAAGACTAACCAAAGCAGAATTATGTTCTTCTAGTACACGATTTTCCCTATATCTTCCAAGTAACCTTCTGTTCCTTTCAGCATGAACCTCTCTTCTATGTCTTTCAAACTGAAGTTGAAGAGTTAACAATACTAACTGATCTTTCAGCTGTTTTACTTCACTGTTATCAACACCTAAACAGGAATTATAGATTTACACAGTCAATAAATTTCAATTTACCTTGAACATTAAGATGACCAAATATTTTTCACTAGACATGTAATTGAATTACATAATTCAATCAATATATTATATAATATAATATATAATCAACATTGCAAATATACTTATCCTAATGAACTTATCATCAGAAATTATTACAATATAAACCACCTTAGAGATCGGTGAAATAATTACTATAACTGTAACAGGAACCGACTGTTATTTGATAAAATCATGCTGTCTCAAACAAAAATATATGTTCAAAATCCTTTTTCTTTTTATCATTGATATTCAGTACTGGCAGTGATACTTAAGAATTGTTTCACTAAGTGGAAACAATGCTGACTGAATAATTGTTCCACTATCACAACTACAATGCTGGATTAATATATCTAAGCTGTCAACTTATAAAACTTTCCTAAGAACTTTAGCTAAACTGTTTGATATATCTTCACTCATATTGGTGGCATTCAGATTTATTTTTTCAAATGAGCATTTAGAATGTTTCAAAAAATGTATATTTTTTAATTACTCAAAAAAATAAATATTACTAGCATTTTTATACATTTATCTAATTTTTCCTTACTGTTTTGGGTACTAAGTCTAATACCATACAATGATTGCTGTATCTTCTGGAGATGGACAACGTGGAGCCTTTTCAGAAAACCATTCAGTACTAACAGGTCTTTTAATTCGTTTACCATTCATTTTAAATTTTTAAGGGCCAATTACACAGTGACAAATGCCGTGAAGGTTGCAGCCATTTTTGCAATTTTGACGGTTTAACAATGGAAGCAATAATGAGTAACTTGCTAACTAAGTAAACTGTAGAATAACCACAATCATGGCAGCATTTTCTGTTGTGGCACTATCGTAGCTCTCTCAGGCTTGATCTGATAGTTGAGAATACTTGTGGTGACAGCGACTTACACTAACCTAACTTACTTATTGTTAATAAAATTATTTATGGTGAAAATTTATTATAAATTAATTTTTTTTTAAATTTTATGGTGACCTACAAATTGCTAGTGTTTGGTCAGTTGTTCTACTTCCCTATATTTTTACTTTCACTTACCTATATATGTAATATTACCACAAAATGGTCAAGCTCAAAAACAAAAAGTCGTACGAAACTCATATTATGTATTTAAGATAGGTATATACCTGGGATGTTAAATAAACGTTTTCCTGGAAATCGGCTAATCAGAATTAAATTAACTGATAATCATGAACAGTATTGAACTAAAAGAATTTTACAAATACAAAAAATTGTACCTGGTTTACTGTGTTTTTCTTTAAGCTGCTCCTTAGTTACTTCAAGATACAACTCCAAAGGTCCTTTTGGATGATCATCGCGAAATATTGGTGGAGAAGTAACATCTAAATGTAATATAAAACAAATTAAGAATTAACAAATTAAAATCTTCTCAATTATATATACTTATTCATGGAACAATGATTAGAAGGAGTTGATAATAGTAGTTGATTGCTTATGATTAATGAAATTCCTAAGAGTTCCTCTTTTTTTAATAACTATTTTGTGAATTTAATTTCATTTTATCCAGACACTCTTCCAAAATTAAAATAATTTATACTTAAAGAGAAAAAACATGGGAATGATTTTTGTGTTCAAATCAACCCTCCTTACAGGTCTTAATGCAACATGTATGTAACCAGTTATTTTCCTTTAAGCATCACAAAAAAAAAATAAAAGTAACTAACTTGCCGAACATGGGAGACAAAAGCAGGAATGTAAATTTTATTCATAAAGGTAATATAATCTTGATAGTTCGACAAATATAAGCTACATTTGATCAAAACAAAATGAGGCATTAAGGTCAAAATAATAAAGCAGCTAAATTTATTTTATTCCAACTATAAATGGCCACATTTCTCATATTGGCAAATACCAGACAACTGAAAAAGGCAAGGTGCAAGGTAAGGGATTTAATAACATAAATATGTAAGCAAATGAAAGCCTTGGAAGCAATACTGCTCCGGCACCACTTTTCCTTCTGCATATCCTCTCTTATTTTATTTATTTTCGTCATCAGGTAATGTCAGCTCATCTCCTGATTGTTGATAACAAAAAAATGAAAATATAAAAAGATACTCAGATAAAATATAAGGCAACAATTTATGTAAGATGTATTTATGTAAAAGGACTTTCAGAATATATACAAAGAACAATAAAGATGATTTGGAAAAAATCAGTCAAGCATATAAATCCAATAATAAGATAAAGTTGGTTTACCAATATAAAAGATAGAATTCTGTTAAACAAACAGATAGGCATAGTGTATAAAATAGATTGTTGATCCATATGTATAGAACAAACTGGGAAAATATTAAATCAAATCAAATTGATGTTAAGAATAAAGATAAAAATAAAATTGCTTTGGTACAACATATAGTTGAAAAAGCTCACAGGTTTGATATAAATGAACTGAAAATAAAACATAAAGAAACAGATATAAGGGAAAGAAGGATAATTAAAGCACTGAACATACATGAGCATGATGAAACAGCAATTGACTTTAGGAATGACACAAAACATTTAAATACACACTTCACAGAAATTATAAACAAAATGAAATAAAACAGAGAACAGAAACATAATTTTAATCCTTTCATTAAGAAAAATAGGCTCTTAAGCTATATAAAATAGAAACTCTAAAATAATTTAGTATAAAAAGGAAGCCTTAAAAGACAATATATTGGCAAATTCCAAATAAATCTGTCTGTTAGTGTTAAAAATGTTAATAGATAAAACGTTTGTAATATATTAACAAAGTCAATTAATCCAATTGTATAACTGCCAAACACACACACACATTAGATGGAATAATTTTTTATCGATAATAGTGATAATTAGCAGGTAATAATTATTAAAATTGTTTAAATTAACTAAGTTGTTAAATTCATATAAATTATTGTTATAATTTTAATTATTGATATTTAATATAACTTTAAATGTGGTTTGAGTATAAATTAAATAAAGTTTTTTAAAAATTTTACTTAACCTATACATATAATATATAGTAAGGGAAAGTACTGCGATCACGAAAATTTTTGTATGTGAGTCCAAATAACCAAATTCCACAAACGAAAAGTTGTATGAAACTGATATTACATTTTTAAGATAGATATATACCTGGTATGTTACAGCAACTTTTTTCTGAAAATTGGTTAATCGGAAGTGTCACTAACAAATTCATTGTCCTATGTTGGGTGGCTTATAGTTGACAGAGATGTGGAGGTTTGGGTCGGTCAGTGCACATTTTGACATAACTTTTGAAACAACAAATTATTACAATGCCCCAATAAATAATGCAAGTTTTCAACCTCGAGCACCGAATGCAACATTGTCATCAATTAAAATAATCTGGTGTGGCATCACACAACACAACTTTCACTTACATCTCTCTTCTTAGCAGAAATAAGTATTTTCAGACAAAGGGAAAGAGAAAGTAAAAATTATAAATGCTATATTGATTTATATTTCATTGTGGGTATTTTTATTTGTATAAGCACCCTTATATATATATATATATATATATATATATATATATATATAAATTTTAATATTTATAACGCTGTAATCTTTATCTTAATATTAAATATTACCAACAATAGCATTTATGAAAACCGCATATGTATATATACACAATATCGTCGGAGTCCTTATTATATGAAGCTCATGTTACGTATGGAAGCATGTTCTAATCTTTCGGGTGAGCTCGTATTTCTTTGGTTCCTCAATTACTATTCTCCACAACAATCTCTTATTTCTCCTTTAGTTAATTATAAAATTCTTTCATATTTTATATTAGAGATAAATGGTCAATTGCTTAATAAAAAAATTAATGGTACTTTAGGGGAAGCTAGTATTGAAAATTAGCCATTTAAGCCCTGTTAGAGAACATCAATCAGAATAAAACCTACATTTTATTTTAAAATTGTTAAATTTAAATTTAATAATGAATTTAATTATAATCGTTACGAGCCATTTTCGAGAAAATCGTAAAAATGTGTTTAGTCTATGATATAAAGTGCCACTTCCGGTTAGCCGATTTTGACGAAAAGGTTGCTGTAACATCCCAAGCATATAAAAACCTTAAATATGCAATTTCACTTTTGTTTTTGAAAAGCAGTTAGCTATAAATGTAGCAATATTGACTAAATTAATTATATGGATGATAATGATTAGTAAAAATAATGGAACATTTAAATAGATAATAGTATTAAAAATATACTTGAAAGAAGTTAGTCGACGGTTCTACATATCATGGTATATCTACATATCCTGAAAATATTCAGGACGCAGTCTGTTTTAAAAAAATATTTAATTTTTTATTTATGCCAACGTTTCAACCCAAACATGTGGTTCATCTTCAGTGCTCAAACCACATCCTGAAGATGACCCACATGTTTGGGTTGAAACGTTGGCAAAAATAAAAAATTAAAATTTTCTTTAAAAAAGACTGCATCCTGAATATTTATCACCCATATTAAAAATATAAGTTGACTTAATAATTAGATTTTAAATTAAATTCAAAAAAATGAACTTATACATGATGTTTGGTTCTTCCAAGAAGGCAAAATGTACCTAAATAATAAAAACTACAACAGAATAAATAATAACAAGAATAATCATTTTAAGATTTTTGGAAACGGAGGGAGAGAAAGGGAAGGAGTCAATGTTAGTGATACTTCTGATAAGGCTTCGATAATGTAACACAGAGAATATAGGTATATATGAAAAATATGAAAATATTAGAGTGTAGTTTCTCAACAAGTGTTTTCATGTCATTTTATTACTATATTCACTTTTACTATTGGGTTACCTGGGAAACAATGAAGGATTTTGAGTTTTATATAAAATACCCCTCTATATAACAAACTGTTTACACTTACTGGATTATTCATTTGTATGAATGTCTACACTTACTAATCCACTTCCAAATGATAATATTTGTTTACCAATGTAGCATTTCACTGCTTAGAAGTAATTTAGTTTTTACTAAGATGCCAACACATGATTTTCGTATAATTTTGATTTACGAGTTTAGACTGGGCCAGAATGGGGTTGAGATGACCAGAAACATCAATCAAGTCAGGAGCAAGAGTAGCATTAATAAGGGCATTGTTCAGCGGTGGTTCAAAAAAATTTTTGGGAGACTTCAGTTCAGGAGACTTGAAGATAAAGATGGTTGTGGAAGGACTTACTCTCTTGATGATGATATTCTATGGGCTTTGGTGGAAAAAAAACATGGAACAACTATTCGAGACCTTGCAGAGAAAATTAACCTTAGCACATCCGCCCTACTCTCCAGACCTCTGACACTACTTATGTCACAAACAATTTAATGGACAAAGGGAATTACAAAATGCGTTTTTGGAGTTTATCAATTCTAAAGATGGGAAATTCTATTCTCGGGGAATGGAAAAGTTGCCAACATGTTGGCAGAATGTATTGATAGTAGTGGAGACTATTTTGATTGAATAAAACAGTTGTAAATCTTTCTTTATTCTTTTTAAACCAAAATCTTACATTATTTTCTGGACAATATATGATATCATTATATGAATAGGCAAACACAAAACGGTTCAGCTCCTTTTTGCCAGATAGCCCTGCAGTGCCAAAACGGCTGCAACAATTTTAATAAAACTTGGCTAAAGTCTTCCCAAACCCAAAACCTTTATACTTTATTGAATATTTAATAGTTGACCGTTGAATTATAAAGGAAGGAGATGGTCTGGAGTGGCGGTCATAAATAGGTTAAATGATGGCAAAACTATTTTATTAAAAGCCAACGTTTTGACCCGACTTTGCAGGTCTTCTTCAGGGCTAGAGTGGAGAAGATACAAAAAGATATAGAGAAATTGTGTAAGTTACATAATATTTAGACAAAAAATTATAAACAATGTGAATAAGCTTATTAAAATTATAAACAATAAGTACATTAAAATATAAACAGAGTAAGCTAAGTAACAAGATCCTAAACTGAAGTAAATAGATGGTAGCAATTTTTGTAGTGTAATATATAATATATGCAAATGTGAATATAATTCTACAGATCTACAGGAGAGATTGAAAGAAAAGGATATAATATGAAATAATAGACATAAAGGAATGTGGATAAAGAAAAGAAAAAAAGAAAACCAAAAATAAATAAATAAGTAAATAAAGTTAGAAGAATAAAACTGGAGACTTACAAGTGTGTTCAGCAAGGAATTTCACTTAGAACTGGAAAATCATGGTAAGGGTAGGTATTGGGGAATTCGCTGACCTGTTTGGGTAATGGGAAAAAAAAACTAGAAAATTACAGTATCTAAAATTTGAAGATATGGATAAGGGAAAAATACTATATCTATGAAATAATAAATTATAAATATATACAAATACATATAAAATAGAATTAAGAGATTATAGATAAGAGTACAATATGAATAAAAACAAAATGGAAGAAGTAAAACGTACATATAAGTAAATAATATCCAGTTCCACACTATCTTCATTTATCTCCTGGAAATTTTCCATTTCTTCGCTCCTATCATTCCCATGCAGTAACTCTCTTAAGTATTCCCTCCATCTTTCCAGTATTCGCTTTGACCATCTTTCCAGTATTCGCTTTGACTTATTATTAGCCTTTATGAACATTATAGGGCATTCATTCTCATTCCTCATGTTTTTTAAAACTTTGTAGAACAGTTTTTGATTTCCTTTGGCTTGTTCTTCCATAAATTCTTCTAATTCTTTCCAGGTTTTCTGTTTCTCCTTCACAACCATTTCCTTTGCTTTCTTCCTCTGCACCTTATACCTTTCATAGCTTTTCCAATTCTTCTCTCTCAGATAGCTTCTCCAAAGGTGTTTCTTCCTTCTCACCTCTTCCCTCAAAACCTGCGTCCACCATTTAGTTTTATTCTATCTGCCACTGCCGCCGCATGTCACCTTCCCACAAACTACTTCTGCTGGATCAACCCCAAACCACCTATACTGTTCATAGTTTTGGGGTAATGAACACTGGAGGAAACCGGAGGCACGGGGAGATCCTAAAGACTCTAAAGTAAAAGCTGGCTCTGAGGGTGAAAGCCTGCCACAGTCTCCATCCGGGAGTCCATCCAACATGTCTATTGAATAACTTATTTAGATGAGGCTGCTGAAAATTAATCTACACCACCACTGCATTGCGGCAAATGGAGTACTTCTGCATTACATTAAAGGTGAGGATATTGATATTGTATTAATCCAAGAACCTTACTTAAGTAATAACAAAATTATAGAATTGGGAATTACTGGCTATGGAACTATTTCTGTTGCCACCAATTCCAAGGCCTGTATTCTTTATAAAAAAATCACTAAAATTCTGCCTCTTTGTTCTAAAGATTGGGCAGCAGCCAAATATACTTCACCAAAAAACAAGAGAACAGACACTAACCATAGTGGAGGGTTATCTGTCCAATGGGTCGGGAGATCCTGCACAAGATTTGGATGAAATCACTAAATCCATAAAAGAAGACACCCTGATGGGACTTGACGCCAATACCTACAACATCATATGGTGCAGTAACAACAAGAACCTGAGAGGTGAGATGTTGTTAGATTTTATAATTAATAATAACTTAGATAAACTCAATACAGGTAAAAACCTACTTTCTCTAATAAACTAAGTTCAGAGGTCATAGACATAACATTAGCCTCTAGTCAGGTCACGTCAAAAGTGGTTAACTGGCATGTATCTCATACCTAGAAGAGTAAATGCTGCTCAAAAATTATAAATAACACTTGACAGCTAGAATGCCTCAATTCATCATTAACAGATGCTATTAGAAACTCTTATTTGAGCAGTAATGATATTCAAACCAAAGTCTACAAAAGGAGATTATCCTGGTGGAACAAGGATTTAGAGAGGCAAAGGACACTAAACAAAAGGTTGTTCAATGCCACTAAAAGATATGGCAATTGGGAGGTTTACAGGACCGCCCTCACAGAATATCACAAATCTGTGAGGAAAGCTAAAAGATGGTCTTGGAGGAACTTCTGCCAAGAAATTGACAACACTCCTATGGCATCTAGGATAAAGAAAATAATAACTAAACAGAAAGACCAAGGATTACTGGGTACACTCAGGGTCAATGGCAAACATACTAGTAATGAGCTTGAAACCCTGGGAGAACTGGCACTATCACACCATGTATCATACTTTCCTGGGTACAAAACCATGGAAAAGGCTTGTATTGACACTATACTTCCTAGCTAGACAGCTAATCGAGAAGTTTGGAATAAGGCAAGAAATATTGTTACCGTAAATAGACTTGAATGGGCAGTTAACTCATTGTCTCCTTATAAATCTGGTTTGGATGATATTCTACCAATACTGATTCAAAAAGGACTTTCAATAATTAAACCATATCTCATAGAGTTATTAAGGGGCAGCATAGCGTTTGGATACCTTCCTACAGAGTGGAGAGGATTTAAACTGTGTTTTATACCAAAACCTGGAAAGGGATTGTAAACGTTTGCATCTTCACAAAAAAGCAGAAGGTTGAAGTAAAATCACCTAAAATTAACAGCATCCAGCTAACATTAAGGATGTGAAACACTTAAGCGTTATGTTGGGCAATAAAATGTTGTGGAATAGTCATGTGGAATACATAACTAATAGAGCACTAAACTGCTGTTTGGAAGGCATGAGGGCTTAAACCTTGAATGGTATATTGGCTGTATATCACAGCAGTTAGACCTGTGCTCTTATATTCGACTGTTGTATGGTGGCATAGGGCAAGAGTGGGCCGCAACCAGATATAACTGAAAAAACTACAAAGATTAGACTGTCTAGAGAATTTCTTAAAAAGATTTATAATTTTAAAATAGACAGCTCAGGAGAATATAAACACACTAATGGGATTAATTGTTATACTGGTGGGTCACTAATGACATGAGGCGCTGGTTTTTGGAGAAAGGATGAAATACCACTCGGCAAAAATACGGTGTTTCTATCTGAAATACTGGCGATAACTCACTGTGCCTCAAAACTGTTGCTTGATGGGCTAAGGGGGAGGAAAATTTTTATACTGACAGTCAAGCAGCTATACGAGCACTGGACAATTATACAACTAGATCTAAGGATTTTGCAGGATTTCTAAATGACTTATCTAGACTCAATAAGGTAAACATTGAATGGGTTCCGGGTCACTATAGAATTCGTGGTAATGAGATTGCGGATGGACTAGCAAGACTAGGCTCACAAGAGATTCCCATAGATCCTGAACCCATCTGTGGAATTAGTAAGTGTCTAATAAATAACAGAATTGGGGAGATTTATGGTGCTGAAGCTAAAAAATACTGGTGCTTGAAAAAACTGCTTGACTCACTGTAGATTGTTCCTGAAAGGAATCTGTCCGAAAAAAAGCAACCTACTAATTAATTTGAGCAGGAGCTCATTTAAGAAAATTACAATGGTATATACTGGACACTGTTAACTGAATTATCATATGTTCAATCTCTGGCTAACGGAGTCGTCTCGTAGGTACTTTGGCCAGGAGGATGAAACAGCTTATCATTTGTTGATTCCAACTATTCGGTATTGATAGGGTGATTGATCCCATGGTATTATGCTCTAAAAAAAAAAATAGGAGTGACTTTAACAGAGCCGTACAATGGGCCTTCATGGTCACGGTGCATTCATGCCATTTGAAAAAAAAAAAAATGGAACTTTTTATTCAAAAAATTCATAACCCACCGAAATGTGTCCTCCTCAAAAATTTTGATGGTGCAACATGCGCCATAAAGCCTCCTTCTAGGCACCTCCGATCTTAGCTATTACATCTTAGTCATGAAAGAGTTTTAAATAATATAAAGAACAATTTAGATCCAGAAGCTATACCAGGTGGTGCACTGCGTTGCTGTATTGGCTCCACAGGATTTAAAATGGAAAGGAGAAGATGTTCATACAGCAAGGGTTGTAGAGGATCAGTCTGAGTTTCAGAATTCACAAATTTTTTTTCCTCCTGTTGAATCAGAAATAAAAAAATTAATCATTACATATTATTTAAAATCTATATAGTTATATTATATATGATTTAAGCATTGGATGCATTACTTAATAAACATATAATTCAAAAAGAGATATACAGTACTATATTAAACTGTAACAATACTAGATTAATATTAAACTATAAAGCCATGAGGCTGGGCTGTAACATAAGGGCAAACAGTTAACTTGCCAAGGCTATATGTTAGAGACTAATGACTTTAAAGTTTGGATTTATCCATTTATATCATAATTATATACACTATTAATCATTATATATCAACTATGTAGTATAGAACCTTTTTATGTATATGAATCTCTATTTCGATTTTTAAATTCTTACTACAACTTTAACAGGGTATTCGGTGTTTCTCTTCAACAATCCTGTTTAGTTGTTTTTCTTGTATATTTACAATTTTTTTTTTTTTTTCCATACATTATTATTTGTTCTCCCCGAATATTATCACAGTCGAATTAGGAAAAAAAAAACCAAAAAAAAAAACCATGACAAGTAGAACTCTGCCACCAAGATCATATTTTTACTTTATTGTGATTTGCAAAAGATAAATAAATAAAATAAAATTGTGAGCAGCAACACAGGCTGAGGTTGCATATTTTCTCTTAAAACTTAAAAACAGATGAAATCTGATTTTATTGTTTCATTAAGTTTAAATACCTGAGAGAATTGAATATTTTAAAAGTAAATTGATACTACTTAACATATTTCTTCTGCTAACCAATTTAATTCATCAAAACAGAGAAATTTTGTTTTTCATCAAAAAGAGGGAAGAGAAAAATAATTGAGACTTCAAGAATAGGTTTTGTTTGTTTTGGTACCTGTATTGAAATAATAAATTGTGATGGTATAATTTGTAGTGCTTTCTTTTTAAATAATTAAAATTAAAATTAAAAATTAAATATGTGAACAAATTATATTATTCAGGTTTTAAAAATATTTTTACTTTTACTGAACTACATAAGAAATATATATATATTGCAATGGAATGAAAAATGAAAGTATTCTGATTAAGAAAAAGTTTGAGTGTGATTTTCATAAATAATGTATTAGTATTATTTATTATTCAATTGTATAGATTACAGCAGCATAAATATTAAAATTTGTTTATATACTAATTCTTAATTAAACAAATAAAAATATCTACAGTGGGACATAAATATATAAAGCAGAACATAAATAAATAAATATAAATAAAAAATCCTCACGTGGGCTCATTACCATGTAGGGGAGCGTTCCACTGATGGCGGATGTGGGTGTGGGGATGATCGATGGAAATTATTCAGAATTTCCTTCCGGCTAGGTGCGATGGAATCGCTGGCCAACAATCAGAGAGGCCTTCCAGACTTGCTGGAGGGTGTGAAATAGGATTGAATGCCCAACTCACATATTTATAGTTCACAAAATACCAAATAGTCATGGATCCCCATAAAGTAAAATCCTCATTATCTGGAAGCAAAATAGGCCCCCCATTCGGGTTTCCATGTGGGGACTGCACAAGTTGAAAACTATAGATTTAAGTATAGCGACGTGGAATGTAAGGAGTTTGAATACAGCAGGTGGGTTAAAATCGGTCACAAATGAGATTAATGGGAACAATTTAGATATTGTCGCTTTGCAAGAGGTTCGTTGGCCAGGGGGGGGGCTCAATAAGGAAAGGTAAGTACACTTTTTGGTACGGAGGAAGCGGAAATCATTGTTTCGGTACTGTTTTTTTTTTTTTTTTTTTTTTTTATTAAGAATAGATTTCTGTCCACTTTGAGGGACAATTCGTTAGCAATAGGATTTAGGATTTTTGTGGCCATATTCCAGAGACGTTGTTTTAAAATCGCATTGATAAACATACTCTGTCTGACCAAAGACAGTGATCACGAAGCCAAATGTGAATTTTATGATAAACTACCGCGAAGCTGCATGAAAATAATTTTAGGGGACGCTAACGCAAAGATGGGAAGGGAAGAAGTTTATTTTCCGACTATCGGTAAAGAAAGTTTACATGACCATAGTAATGATAATGGAATTCGGCTAATAAATTTTGACGTCTCGAAAAACCTAATAATTAAAAGTACTACGTTTAAACATAAGGATATTCACAAATATACTTGGACATCAACAGAATTGCAAACATGAAATAAAACCGATCATGTTTTGATACAACATAGGTGGCAAAATTTATTTTAAGGAATTATTGAAAAATTCCTGCATATTTCGTATTTTTCTCATACATGAATTTCTAGTTTCCAAGAAATTCATGGTTATTGGACACCCTGTTTAGGAAAAGTTATTGAAAAATGTAGGTGATTACAGAACTTCAACTGTGGTAAATCAAATAATAAAAACAATAATTATTATTAATAAATCTATTAAGCAGGTCAATTCGGGTTTTAAAAGCATGAACATCAAGACCCCGAATGTATATTCTCTCAAGGAATATAAGAAGTCCTGTGTAAAGCTCAAAATTCAATTTCAAGATGGTACCATACTGTATACCCGAACTCTAGCAATAGCCTCAACACAACAAATTTAATAAAACCATTATCATACTGCATTCTTCAATTAAATTTACAATTCCTCATCTTTCAGCAGCTTATAAAGAATTACATTATAATACATGATTTTTCAAAGAAAAAAAAGTATTTATTACCTTTTGAGATAAAACCTCAGCCTCAACATCCAACAGTATTTCTGGACAAGAGACTGTACGTCTTAAATACTTTTTTTTGGAATCTTTTGAACTGTTTCCACAGCTAGCCTCTGAAATAAAAAATGTGAATAAATTACTTACACCAGGAATACCCAACCTTTTTATAGTCAATGCTATGATCAAGGGTTCTCCATACTGAGATTTGCCATAACTTTTATTTATATATTTTTATACCCACCACCTAATTATTTTTGTTTTCTATTTGAAAGCCAGTTGAACATGGAGAATGTTTTAAATCCAAAAACAACGATGAAATCAAATAATTTCTTGTTTAGGAAACACATCAAACTTCATATTTAAATTTAATTTAAATTAAATCAAGTAAACACAACACAGCTGTTATCTCGAGCATACTGCATATATACCTCAGATGTTATTGTGACGCCGCAATTACTGGAGCGTAGACGCTCATGTAACGTGACAGATTAACGAGACTGGCCAGTTTGATTATTCGTAATTCCACTGCTTTGATGAATCTGGAGTAAAAAACTACATTGGCAGGCAAGGGGCCGAGAAAGGAAGAGAGAGAGAAGATGAACAAGAAGACTGGCAAATAGAAGAAAAGAGAAAATGCAAGTATCCCTACCCACCTATATTTAACCTCTGTATCAAATTAAATGTTATAAAATAAAGCAATCAATTTTACATATTCACTTCTTTAATCCATTAACTCCTCTAATTTTACAGTCCACAGTAATAAATTTTCACCAGCTCTTAAAGCAGAATTATTATGACAATATCCCTGACAGCCTTGGAAGGGATTGGCATAGTAAATTAAACAGTTCTTCTTAAATGATTTAGCTACAAGCTTTTATCATCAGATCCGATTTCACTCAAAAAGGCTAACAATTTTTTTAAATAAATTCACGATTCTCTTGATGAACTCCAAAAAAGTACATCATGAGGATGGATATGATGGTTCTGCTCCCTACATAATATTGTTTTTAAAAACTTAGTAGTGAAGCTGCCATCATCCACATCCCCCTTTAGTTAACTAGTGAACGTGTTTTGATGGTTTAGGTGACAATTCACAAGAATTGTTGATAAAGACATATTTAAGTTGATTGACTCAACATTTTAAGGCTAAAAATGTTTAAGAGGAAAGTTGTCTATCAACAGAATTATCGTTTTAGAGTTTATTGACATGAATGGAATAAGTTCATTACTTTGTAAAGAAATTCATATGTCTATAGAAGTATGCATTAAAGACCTTTAATAGTATTCTTATGTTTTTATTTTCAAATAAAGCATTGTTTTAAGTCTATTTCACTTAAAATGTATTCATTATCCTTGTTTTCAATCAATATAAAGACCACAGAAGTTATTGAAAGTCCAGGTGGATGCACATAGCAATCATGATTGTTATAAAAATTATACTTTTATGACAATCTGCTATAACGATGAAGTTTGCCCAGTCCATTCAAGGTCAATAAGTTATATCGCTACCACAATGTTAAAGTAATGAATCTTAACCTGCCTAACATTTCACATTTGTTACTTCAACATGGTGGCTATGACTGTATTGTATTTGCAATATGACTCCAAGAGAAAAAAGACACTACAATATGACTGTATTGTATTTGCTCTATTTTTTAATATATGTTTTAAAATCTCTCTTACAATTAGATCGAAAAATTAAGATCTTCAGATTTGTGCACTAAAAATATTATGATGGTTTGAATGCAGGGCCCATTAAAAATAATCTCACACATACTAAGAAAATAAGTGGTACATTTTTACATATTTTTTAAAATGTTTACTCATCATATTATTGTAAGAGTAAAAGATAAATTGGTGTATTTAATTGAATACATCGTCGATTTATTGCAAAAAGTCATTAAGTGCCCTTTCATAACCTTAAATCACTAATAATTTTGATGAATTTTTGTAATCTTTTGTAAAATTAGAAAATTGTGCCCTTGTAACTATGTTCTATATATAAAAGGTTGCATCATTTTAGTGCACTGAGAAACACAACACAGTAATGTTTTCTTATCAATAAATAATGCCGAAATTTACAATAAGATCCTTAAAAATTATCTTCACAAAATATACAAAGTGAATTTTTAAAATAAACTGATTATTTTTTTTTTCTACATATACTAGGCAGACATAACTTTAACAAGAGATATCTACGATTGCTTTTAAGTAGTAAATGATGAGCTGGTGTAAATAATCCAAAACTTGATACTAACTTAAAGAAAGCAGATGCAAGGTCTCTTGACATTGGCTATAACAACGAAGTCTACGGGCAAAGTTATTTACACTTCTACATTCTGGCCAAAGAAGGCCACCTCCAGCTTTCCATTCCCTCCATTCTGTTCCATCTGAGGTTCCACCACTATTAGAATCACCAAGAACACTATCCTCACGCTTTACCTGAGACAAAAAAAAAAAAAAAAAAAAAAGCATCCATTTATATAAATGAAATATAAAAAACTCTCTTCTTTAATGAATATTGAAAAACATAAAACAATTTTAAATGAAATAGAGGTTTAGTTTATGTTTCAAAGTAGAAGCATAAACTTTTTGACAATATAAAGTAGCAAATCAGAATTAGTGATTAGTGATTTTCCAAACAAGGAAGTAACAATATGAATTTAGATTATATTAAGTTAATTGACCTAAAAATAATCAAAATCTAAATTCAATGTTATATTTTATGTCTAAATTTGTTTTGTTTAGGAAAAATGACATAACCATTTAAATGATGTGACAGAGGAGTCTAAACGCCTTTGCCAGTGTCGCTTTTCCACAAAATAAGTGTATTTTCTAAGTAACTGCTTCAAATATTTTAAAACTTGATTTACAAAAGATGCTTGTTATTCAACATTAGTTTGAACAAATTGAAAAACTTGATTTTACTGGTGGTTTTTATTAACAAGACCAATCAATTTTTTAATATTTTTTCACGTTTTATTATTTTCTAACTATTTAGCTTTAATATAAGACCAATTATGATGAAATTAAGCCAAATGCCGAATCTCAGTGACCGAAAAACTAACTCAAGTCAAAGACATCAATCTGCCATTTTGGGTCAGTGTGGTCACTTTTTTTTATGCGAACATTAGCTTTTTTTAAATTAAAAAGCAAGGAACACAACTGTAACCAATTTATTGGGATGTGGGGGGAGGGTGCATGATAGGGAGGGGTCTGGCCCACCGTGTAACACACTTATCAAAACACCTACCAACTACCATCTACTGTTCCACTCGATGGTTCATTATCTTCAAGAAAAATCTCCGTATTCCCTGGACCAGATTTAAAATGGAGTTACAGAATTCATCCGTTCAAAACTGAAACAACGATATTGTGAAGAAACCAAAAGGATAAATTTCCAAAGCTCAATAGGTCGCTTCCTGTTGGGTTTAGAAAAAATGTTAGGTAATTTTAAGTTGGTTAAAATTGAATATAATCATTTTTTTATCTATGTTGCTCTAAAAAGCAGATATTAAGCGGGGGAAAAAAATAGTTGGAAATTTCAATAGTTTTTGGAGTACTGCAGTGAACCCACAAAGCTTTTAAAGGGGAAAACTTGGATTTTTTATATTCACTACTTACCTAACAATATAAAAAAGAAATTTGAATTACCCAACCTTTTGCAAGGCAACATGTCTAATTTGACTGGGTTATTAGCCTAGGCAGCTAGTCAAATTTTCTTAATCAATTTTAGTTTACATATTTTATTCATACATTTATCTTATTTGTTATAAATTTTGTTTATTTTTTAATTCAAATTATTTGGGGGGAGAGAAAGATATTCTCACTTACTCAAAATTTTTATTGGAGGGGGGGCAATCGCCCCCTTTTAGTCTGCACCTATGCTTGTAAGTCTTTTAATAATAATTTTAGAGCTAAAGTTCATTAGGATAATTGTTAAAACTCCTTGGGAGGAGGAGGAGGGCTTTCAATACTCTTAAAAAAAAGAGTGATTTTTCAAAAAGCCTACCAAAAAAGTGGGCCCCCAAAGTGAAAGTTTCTAAATTCTTTTTAGAGTTCTGAAAACCCCTCTCCCCCCCTAATAGTTCTAGAGTTCTCTAGTATTTTAAAAAATATTTCTGTTGTTTAAGCCACCAAAAATACTACAATAAGTTACGAAACACTAAAATCATGTGTTGCGCAACTTTTGAGTCTTATAACTCATTAATTAATAATTTTAGAGCTAAAGTTCATTAGAATAGTTGTTAAAACTGCTTGGGGGGCTATCAAAACTCTAAAAAAAAAAAAAAAAGACAGATTGATTTCTCAAAAGTATTGGGTTGTTTCTAAAATAATGCAGAATTTTGGTTCAAAAAGAAAGATTTACAACTGTTTCATTTAATTAAAATAGTCTCCACTACTATCAATACATTTCTACCAACATGTTGGCTACTTTTCTATTCCCTCAGAATAGAATTTCCCATTTTTAGAATTGATAAACTCCAAAAACTCATTTTCTAATCCATTTTGTCCATTAAATTTTTTGTCACATAAGAAGTGGTCCAGATGTCTAAAAAAATTATAATCCCTAGGCCAGAAATCGGGAGATTAGGGCGGTGTGGCTGAGTTTCATATCCAAGCTTCAACAGTTTGTGAAGTCACATGTTAGACATGTAGCCGGGCATTGTCATTCAACAAAATGGACCGCTTTCGATTGACCAAAGATCGCTTCATTATTGCCAATTTCTGATGCATTGCATACGATTCGCCATTGATGGTTTCTCCAGGATTTAAGAAGCTGTAGTGTATCGAACCAAATGAAGCCCACCAAACAGTAACCATCACCTTTGATGAGTTGGGGTTTTTGGAAAATGTTCTGCTGCTTCTTATTTGTAGAGCCACTGTCTAGAACATCTACTGTTATGGTAAAGTATCTATATATTTTTCATCACAAGTAACAATTCTGAACAGAAAAGGGTTGTTTTAGTTTTGGCAAAGAAGTGTAGCACTAACTTCATAAGGCCGGTTTTTTTAGCAGTTGTTTAATGTGTCTGGAACTTCCAACTTTCAAGCTTTTAAACCTTTCCAATTGTCTTGAGGGTGTCATCGACAATCAATTTGCTAAGGTTAAGTTTCCCTGCAAGTTCTCGAACAGCTGTTCTGGGTTTTTTTTTCACCCTAAAATGTTTTGAATGACCGTTCAAAAGTGCACACATTAATACTGCTCTCATCCCAGACTAATCTCATCATGTCTAGACAAATCTTAGTCTAGCTCCAGGAAACATTGATAAGGCCAGTAAGTTCTTCTCAATGGTTATGAGACATGGACACTCACTCAAAATAATGACCTTCTCATATTCTAAAGGAAGATCCTCTGAAGAATATATGGAGGAGTTCAAGCTCCTGAACAATGGAGAAGATGCTCCAACCAGGAATTATTATATACCATGTTTCCCAAATGCAACATCATACAAATCATCAACTTGAGCAGGCTAAGATGGGCAGGACATATGCTGAGGATGGAAGAGGAGGAAATACAAAAGAAGCTCCTTAAGCAACTACTGTGTGGTACAAGAAGGAAAGAAAGGCCTAGATTGTGTTGCTTTGATGGTATGACTCAAGATGCAAGAGGTATTCTTGGTATAAAGAACTGGATGGGATCTGCACAGGATAGGAACAATTGGCGGAAGCTGCTGAAAGAGGCCAGGACTCAAGACCAGGTTGTAGAGTTATAATGATGATGATGATGAAGAACCTAAATGTATACATACTTTATTCTCATCATATTAACCTTGCTCTATCCCTTAAATCCATACGGGTTTTATTAAATTATTATACCTCCTGTAAGCTGTGAGTTATTCCATTGTTTATTATTGTTCTATTTGTGTGATTTTCATCAAATTATGGATGTTATTACATTCTGGGAATTATATTCTTCAGAAGAAGAAGCTATAGAATATTTTCAAAATCCTGGGTGTGAAATTGTGTGAAGAAGGTCATCAAATGAAGTTAGACAGGAAGACGAAATGGAGACGTTTTCGTACCACTTGTAACCAAATTGTTTCTATAAGGAAAGGAACGTGGTAAAAGGGGTTGAGGATTTCATTTTTAATGGCTTTAAAATTAATTTATGGGTGGTCCCATAATTTAACAACAACACAGTGGGGCAAAGAGCAGCTGAAACTATCCAAACCAACTATGATAACCTGGAACAAATTTTTAATACATATATATGTTGTAAAATGAAAGTATTTGTTATTATTATATTTGTTTTTGTTTAGAATTTCAATAATATAAATATAATACAATAAATATGAATACGAAGATAGGAATTATCAGTGCCTTATCAGAATTATCAGTGTTCAGGTTAAAAATATTGGCAGATAGCAGTTGGTAGCACCTGGCTATCTGACAAGTACCGAAATTTCTTATAGAAAGTAGTACCTTAGAGCAATATGGATATATAAGAAAAAAATAAATAAGCGTGTTACTTTTCATTATTGCACTTTTACATTACATGTCTCTTTTTGTGCTAATTTTCATTTTATAGTTGTGTATTGATCAGCTGCTTTAATTTTAAATTTGTATTCATTACATAAAAATTAACAATAAAAATATAAATTGCTACATATAAATTGTTGCACTATAAATAGAGCTAGTTGAGTCTCAGTCACCAATATCATGTCATACCTTCATAAGGATAAAAACAGTATCAGTTTCATAATTTTTCACTCAGTCCCTTTTATGATATTCAAATTCCAATATCAAAAATGCCACCAAAACTAATTCAAAACAGATGATTTCAAAGGATTTTTTTTTTTTTTTTTTTTATGTCAATATAAGGGATTTCTATATATATATATATATATATTACACTAAACCATGCATGTTACTGTGAATCTATAAATAATTACAATTCTTTACTTCTTTGTATTCAATGTACTGCAACGAAAAAAATTTATATTTCTCTCTGTTCTGATAATAAATAATGTACATATTTGTTGATAGAACATCTTTGATAGTTTTGGTAAAACGTTAGCAACTGACCTGTCTTGAACAAGGATTTGGTGATGTAATCATGGTTGTTTCCACTTCTCTGTCCTCATCACTCCTATCTCCAGGTGTATGAGGTCTAGTTCTGTCAACTTGGGGAATCATTCGTAAAGGGCTACCCGGTGGGTATGTTGTTTTAGATTTAGACTGTAGATTTCCCACCTTTATCAAATAAAATAATTAAATATTAAACGCAAATTAAGGAATATAATAATATTTTCATTCTGAATTAGTTAATAACAATTTTAAGAAAAATACAACTATTTATGAAAATATGATCAAATTATAACATCTACACAACAATTTAATGGTAATGTAAAGACTAATTTCAAGCAATGACAAATAAACACACCAAATTAATTTAATAATGATGTTTGATAGTAATACAATATTCAAGATTATGATGTAGTTGGGAATAAGCCAAACTAATCAATAATGATTACTAACCCAATAAATTGGAATGTTTTGTTATTATAATATTAATGTTTAAGAAGTGAGACCTTATAACTGTCAAAAGAACAGATTACATAATTACTTTTTCAATAATATGAAACTACACGCCACTGATCATGAGTGAGAACCATCTACTTGCAAAACATATGTGTAAGAAAAATAAAATTTTATGACATCTAGTTTCTGATGAATAATCAATTTTTCGAGTGATCATTAATATTAGCATTAAGAAAGAACAGGCAAGAAACTGAAAAAAATATTATTATATTTTGATATGCTTCTTAATAATGAAAAATTAAAAAAACTATAGACAATTTTAATCATGTTTTAAAAATTTTTTTTAATTCCTAATGTGATTTACTATTTTTTCAAATATGAGGTATCACTTCTTAACCATTTATTTACAATATGTCCAGTCAATAGAATATTATAGAATGAAACACAATTATTGAGATCAGATTTTTTTAAAAATTTGTTAGGAGGTAAACATATTGTTTATACCTTGTTGCTTTCATTTACTTGTCCATATGTATATTATAAATTAAGGAAAAGTATCGCAATCATGAAAAATTTCAAATATGAGTTTTCAATGGAAATGCATGTTTTAAGGTCCTCCAAGTCCAAATAACCAAGTCTTACCAAATGATCTGTGTATGTATATGTGAACAATCCCGCCCAAGATAAAAAAGTTGCATGAACCTGAAATTAAGTTTTTAAGGTAGGTATATGGTTGGGATGTTACAGCAACTTTTTCATTAAAACCACCAAACCAGAAGTGCCACTTCATATCATCCATTTTAGACATATTTACTATTTTCACGAAAATGGCTCTGACGATTTTGATTAATCTTGGTATATGAATTATATTATTAAATATAATTCAAAAATATTAATGAATTTTCTTCAATATCACCTACGTCTTATCTTCATTGATATTGTCTTACACGACTTAAATGTCCAATGTTTGACATTTTTTCCCCTAAGGTACCTTTAATTTGGTTTATTTTAAATAATTAAGTCTCTCACAGAAAGTAGTAATAAAAAAGGTCTAATATAAAAAATGTAAGAATTTCATAATTAACTAAAGTTTATAATGTGTAAAATCAATATAAAGCGGCACTTCCAATTAAGTTGAAAAGTTGCTCTGACATCCCAGGCATACACCTACCTTATTAAATAAATTATTTTAGTTTTGGACAAATTTTCATTTTTGATCCAGGCTGTTAACACTCATACACTTGCACACACATAGACCATTTGGTGAAGCATGGTTATTTGGAACACAAAATGGGTGCTTCCATTTAACAACCTCGATACTTTCCCTTGCTATATATTTCATAAATTATATTTATAATATCTTAATTCAATTGTGTATAATTGGAATTCAGTATGGCAGTTGGAATTGTAATTTTAAAATTTTTCTTTTAGTTTTTATAAAAATTGATTAGCAATATTTTTAAATTAATTAATTTAAAACACTTCATAATTTGTGTAATATTGTAACAATATTATAAATACTATAGAGATATCTTTTTGTATTATAATGATGCTTAATACGAAGTTTTATATTCATGCAAGCTAGTCTTGTTTTATTCACCACAGATTATCCAGATTACTGTCAAGAAATTAAAGAAAGGATTTTGTTTATTGATATTATCTCTACTTTTTTACAGAATGTTTTACAAACATCAATATTGATCTATTTTACAAATCATATATCACTTTAGAAATCCACAGTGGTAAAGCAGTTTTATGTTCTTCATGAAGTAAAACATTACTTATACAAATCTAATGTATAATTAAAATTAATCTTCTTCTTATTCAATAATCTCTTCTACCTTTCAGTGTAGACATAATTAAAATGAATGCCACCATAATTTCACCTGGGTTAAATTTGGATTATACATGCCAATTTGATACTAACAATGAAATAATCAGTTTATCAAGAAAATGTAATGCATTTAATAAAACAAATAATTCAACTGAAATACTAATAAAAACTAAATATAGAAATATCTTTAAAATAATTCTACTCACTTGATTTCTTTCAGAAAGAACACGATGAACCCTTTGAAGGCCAGTGGGAGTGGATGAGAGTTTAAAAGTGGAATGATCCTTTCTTAATGGAGAAGAAGGTTGGGAATGAAAAGTATTGAGATTGCGTACAACAGAGGGACCAGCAGCTGAGTGAGCTCTTTCACCGTGCTCATGCATGTCCTAAGTAAAGATTTATTAATAAAGTAATATAAAAATTGCATCAAATCAATTACAGTGAAACTTTCCCACAATGAACAGTAATGGATCTGATTGATTTTTCCGTTGCAGAGGGATGTCTCCTGGGGAAGGATATTTGCTTTATAAAGACAGCACGTGCATGGATGCATCAAAACAATTTTTTGTAATTTTATTTCATTTACTAAAAAAATAAATAAAACCTGTACCATTAAAACCTATGAAGGGTCTTTGGATCAGTATTTTGTGAGGAAGTACTATTTCAAGACCAACGACTGTGCAGGGAGGTGATTGGGCTGATATCATGCTCATCCACCAGGTTTATACCCTTAATCAATTATTTAATTAAGGGTATCCAATTTACAGATGCACTAGGAGGGTCGATTCACAGCTGATAAAACAGAATAAATAATCAGCCTGATCCGAACCCGAGACCTTCAAGTTTGGAAGTCGGTTCCTTACCCACTGAGTCACCCGGCTCCTCTTTGTTTCATTTATACATAATATATTTTTAGAAACTAGTAAGCAATGATAAACATATTTAAAAACATAAAATAGATTAAGTATATCTCCATGGTGCAGTTTTAAACATTTCACCGAAAAAGAATAAAAATGAAAAAATTATAGTAACATATTGCATTTTAAGTAAAATATGATTAATCGAGATGGTGGTGTTTTTATGAAATCTGCCAAGAGCTAAGGAGAACAAAACTTAATATTGTGGAAAATAACTTAATCCATTATAAAAGTGTGTTTCCACTTTACAGTGCTTAATAAATTCCTGATATGACAGAAAACAGTATGTTGGAGAATAGAAATGAATGCTATGTGTTTAATGTGATGACGATGCTGTTAGGTTTTAGTTTATAAAACAGTTGTCATCTTTCGCAAATTTTTAAAATACATTGTGTACTTCTTGTCTAGGCCGTTTTGAAACCTTACTTCATATCTATCTTATCTAATGCCACGTCACATAACCTCCCTCTTCTTATCCTGCCAAACTTTTGAGTTATTGCATTGTTTAGTTTTCAGTTATTCCCTTATTATGTTCACTTATTAAATTCTTTACTTTTAGTTCGTTAGTGTTTATTTTTAGTTTTTGGCCCGTTTGCATTTATTTTACATTTTTTTTTAGTTTATGGCCCCTTGGAGTTTATTTTTCATTTTTTTCTGTTTATTTTAGAACCTGGCAAAGTGGTTGAAGTAGACGAAAGTCTTTTTTCTAAACGAAAAAATCATGTGAGGAGAGTTTTACCTGAGCAGTGGATGTTTGGTGGAGTTTGCCGAGAAACAGATGAATGTTTTACTGTCAAAATAATTGACAGAAAGGCAAAAACCTTATTACAAGCAATTAAAGAAAATATAGAAGAGGGAACGACCATTTATTCGGACTGTTGGAAAGGATACAACACCCGACAACTGAACAAAGCAAACTATGACCATTTCCAAGTGAATTACCAGTATAATTTTGTCGATCCATCAACTGGGGTTCATACTCAACATATAGAATGATTATGGAGCTCAGCGAAGTGGAGAAATAAAGTATATAGAGGAATTGCCAGACAACACCTCGATTCATATTTGTGCGAATTTTTGTGGCGGCGGGCTCAAAATAGTAGAGGACCTGTTCCTCGCTATTTTAAATAGCATAAAACAATTTTACCTTCCAAAATAAATAAGACAAAAGGAAGTGAATAATTAAGTGAAAATAATTTGTACATATATTGTTTATAGTGTTGATATTTTTTCAAGATATCAATAAGATATTAAGTAGGAGAAGGGTTATCACTGCGTTATGGGAGTTATCAGTGTTCAGGTTATAAACATTGGCAGATAGCAGTCAGGAGCGGACCCCTAGACAAGAAGTACCATACTACCATACTACCATAGTACCATACTTTTTTTGTCAAAAGTTTTAACCACTGGTAAAAAATACAAAACATAATACTTATTTATTATACTTTCATAATAAAACTTATAAGACACAGATCACAGCAAATAATAGCTGCAATTCACTCTCAAGCTGCAATCAGCATATAAAATATTGAAAGATAATTCATAGACTTGGACCATTCACCTTAGACCACTTCATATGGTTGACCCAACTTGTATAAATAAACTAATTCATGAATTCCAGTATAGAATTGTATGCTCTAAGGTAATATATTTCTGAATGACAGTGGATTAATAATTGACTGTCATAGATATATTGAAGAGAAGTTGGTTGGGGTGTTCAGTAACAAAGTAAAAATAAATAAATTATATTTATTTTATTTTTGCTGACGTTTTAGTCCAAGGTTCAGCCGTAAGACTACGGCACACCTTCTCATCAGTCCTGATGAAAGCCTGAGCCTTGGGCCAACACAACAGTAAAAATAAAAATAAACATAATTTATTAATTTTTACTTTGTTACTTTTTGATTAAACACCCCAACCGACTTTTCTTCAATATATCTCTGAATGAGTCATTTCTGAAAAAATTATTTAACTTCCCATATTTTCTTATTTTTTAAATAAATTGTTTCACAAAATAATTACTTTAAAAATGTCAAAAAAAAAAATTATTTATTTTATTTTTTATTGTAAATAGAGTGTGAGTGTGCTTTCTCTGATCACTATTATAAATGTCCTTGATGTGACAGAATGTAGTATTTCTAAATAAACAAATATATAATAAGTAAAAAAAAAAAATGTCAAAACAGAAGTTAACACTCAATTTTGACATTTTTACGGTAAGAACATAATCACTAGTAGTACCTATTCTTTTCTTTTATTAAAAACACGAATGCTAAAAATAATGTAAAAGGAAAACATAATTAAATTCATCTGTAAAATAATTTTATTATTGAGTGCAGTAAACAAACCAACTCGATGTTCTGTCAATATCTGCGAAACACAGGAGAACCTATTTAGCTTTTAAGCTCGAGTGGATGGCGGAAAGAACTTTCTGAATGTTGCACCCTTTTGGCAAGCAACTCAACACTAACCATTCCATTCTTTGATGGAGTCCCTCTTAACAAGCTTCTTCTACGGGCAAGGAGCCTCACTGACTTTTTTCCTGGGTCCCACAGGAAGTGCCTCTAGCCCCTGACTCTCAAGATTTTACTTCAATGTATTCTCCCTGGGAACGAGGTCCAGTTACATCGCTCCAACACCTGTTGCATGTGACACTGTCCTATATGTCTTAGTGATCCTCAACGAAGCTAATTACTGAATGGGGACTAGTCCCCTCTTAAGCTGCTGCATGAGGTTTCTACTCTATAATCGACAAGTTCATCTTATTTCTACTCTATAATTGACAGGGTCACCCTATTCTTTAGGTATTCTAGGTGAGGGGTGTTGTCAAATTTTCTTCTTACACCCATTCTGAGTTACTTCACGTTCTCACTCACTCTTACTTTCTCTAACTGTATATCAAGGTTGATAGGGTAGGTTCTGTCTATGCAGCCTCTCATGAAAATGGCCTGGGTTTACTTGGAATTGCTGCCATACTGAGTTTTTGTCTTACGTACTACTCTACACCGAGACTGGCACACCTTTCCGCTCTTGTCTTCAGTGTGGCTCTGCTTTACTGTACATGCCCATCTACCACCACTGGCTGTTTGCTTTCAGAAATTTTTGGAAAATAAAACTGGGATACCTAATTTTCTGTACAGGTCGTACATTGTTGATACCAAAAGCGGAAAAATAGGAACTCGTGCCAAAGGACTTCAGACCAATTGTATGCCTTAATAGAACATACAAATTGTTAACATCAATGATTCATAATAAGCTGAAGTTACATATAAATGAGTATAAATTAATTTCTGATGAACAATTAGGGACGAAAGAGAAGGCCAAAGGATATAAAGAGCTTCTTATCATTGACTACCATATCAGTGTTTCATGGATTGACAACCAGAAGTTTCAATAAATAGAGGAATCTTTCAAGAGGACTCTCTAAGCCCACTTTGGTTCTGTTTGGCGATCAACCCTTTGAGGTTCTTGTTGTAATCATCAGGTAAGGGTTATCAACCTGATGCAGAAACTGTTGTTTCCCATTCTATATACATGGATGGTATAAAATTGTATGCCAAGAATGAATACGATACGCGAAGCCTTCTCGAAATAGCACGAACCTTCAGTGAAGACATCAACATGAAAATGGGTCTCGATAAATGTGCTGTGCTGCATATCAACAAGGGAAAGATTAAAGACGCAAATAGTATAGAGTTCTCTAATAAAACAGTGATCAACAGCCTGAACGAAAAAAAACTCGTACAAGTATCTTGGTATTTATCAGCTTGTAGAATTTAAGGAAGACATTAAAAAGCATTTCAAGGATAAATTCAAGAGGGGTGTAAAGATCAACCTCAAAACAAATATTTCGGGAAAAAATATTATAAAAGCTTTAAATACATGGACGATTCCAGCTTTATCCTATTCCTTTGGCATTTTAAAATGGACCAATACAGACCTGGATACTATAGATTTTTATCTAATAGTGCAAATGACGAACTCTCGGAAACGTCATCCGAAATCGTCCGTTGTATAAATGAATCTATCTATGAAGCAAAACTCCGCAACTAATTTAGAGCAAATAGTTCATATGGGGTCATCTCAGCTATTGCGCCGCTGGACTCTGGTTATACAGCTTTGAACCTTCAACGTGAAAGTCCAAAGGGCTACATGGAAGGTTTTACCATTAGTTTTAAGGAGTGGATTAGATAAGGATGGAGCACAAGTATTCCCTCCATGGAGCACAAGTATTCTCCCCCTATCCCAAAATATTTTATTACTCACCTCTTATTTAAATACTGCAAGCAAAAGTAAAATTACAATTGCTGTGGTCTGTTCCATTTTTTTACTACTTGTCCCATTGTTTGAAACTTTTCATTCCCAAAATTCATAACTCAGTTATTGTAAAAGCTTGATGCTGCAACTCTGATGTGGCTACGTAGGAATATGTTGTTTTCTGAAACGGAAGGATTCGTTATAGCCATATAGATTATCGCAATAAAGGCCTGTAGGCACCGTATTCGTGGAGAAGCTGTAGCTTAATTGTGTCGATTGTGTAAAACAGTAACATAATCAACTCAGCATATCACATCAGGATGTCAGATTACGGAAACGTGAGAACTGAGCAAGACTGGCAGCATTGAGGATCAGTCTAAAGCTAGTTGCAATCATGTCCCCAGGACCTTACTGATGACAAGGAGAAGGCAGATCGGGGGTAGGCCTTTGGTGATTCCTTGTCCTTGCCTCTCCCCTTGCAGTGTAGTCTCAAATCTGTGATTTTCCACCTGCTTGGAAAGTAGCCTTTGTCCAAACATTCGTTAAGACAAGGAGCACTTCTCAAGCAAGTAAAGAATCCGTTACTATCTTATCGGAGATATTTCATATTATCTGGACTTCATTAATTATCACTTTTTCAATAGGGAAGTGCAAGGATAACCATTCTCCCTCCATGGAGCACAAGTATTCTCCCCCTATCCCAAAATATTTTATTACTCACCTCTTATTTAAATACTGCAAGCAAAAGTAAAATTACAATTGCTGTGGTCTGTTCCATTTTTTTACTACTTGTCCCATTGTTTGAAACTTTTCATTCCGAAAATTCATAACTCAGTTATTGTAAAAGCTTGATGCTGCAACTTGTGCTATGAAACCCCTTTGGTCAAGATTTTGTTTATAATAACAAAAATAAAAATTAAAGTTTATTTTATTTTTTTTATAGCAAGTTTATTTTATTTTTTTATAGCTGTGTATTCATGAATACACAGAATTTAATTTTTGTAATATTTTTAAAAAATGGACCTGTAATCTGCCTTCAAATAACTTGGATCAGCTTTAGTACAATGTTTCTAGAAAGTGGCCAAAGTGATAACTTGACAAGACATGCAAAAAACATAATTATTTTATATTAATAAGGAAATAAAATTTAAGCTAATATCTGGACAAAATTATATATGGTTTATATTTATTCTACAAATAATGGGTAAAGTACATATAAGGATAGAAAATATTCTATTATAATACTAATTTAATAATATCTTTTTAGTCCTATAAGGGTGTCACAAGCATTTTTTACTAGAAAAGCTTGCCACAAAACATTTTAAACTTGGCAAGTGTGCCATGAAAAACTTTTAGCCTAAAAAAGATACCACACCAAAAAGAAGTTTGAGGACTGCTGTTCTAGATAGACTAAAAGGTACTTGGCTAAATTAGTAAAAATAGTATTTAATGAAATAATCAGTTCACAAATAATAATTTGATAAATCATGAAATAACTTATTTTGTGAAATAAATTATTTTAAAAATAAGATTCAAGAAAAGTGATAAAATAAATTATTTCAAACATAATTTGTCTAGGTCATTTAATGATTGATTTCTCGAATACTTCAAATAAATATTTAAAAACAGTTTTTCAGACTAATGGTACTTCTAAATATGTAAACCAGAAAAGATTGAGATTATTATTACTTTTTTTGCTATAATTTCTCTGTTTTAAGTTGTTGAAGAAATGTAAAAAGAGAAGCATTAATTTATTACTTGCCTTGATAGGTGTTGACTCTGGAGTGGCTTCAATAGCAGCTTCGGGAGGGGAGTTTCCTTCCTGAGGCATATAAGCCGATATCACGCACCCCTAAAAATAAAAATATATTCTGAAAGGACTCAATATAATTAAGAATATTATTAATCATAAACAAATATACATATAGTGGCACTACAACCCATAAATGGTCTTGTATGATAAAGGGTTCATTACTTTGAAAGGAAATACTGTTAATAGGCCCACGTTTGTGCAAGAAGGTGATTGGGCCAGGTGCATGCTCAACCACCAGTTTTGTTCCACGGATGATGTAACAAAATAAATAATTATCTGTCACAGCTGGACATATAAAAGTACATATGGCTTCTCTAACCACCTATGCTCATGAGATAGGAGCATATAGGCGATTAATGAATAATTATTAAATAGTAATGAAAGGAAACAAAACTTATTCTTTTTTGGCATTGTGCACAAAGATCGGTACATATACAACTATTACCTTGTCTTTTGCTATCGACTATGAAACAAATTTACAATAAAGTACAACAAATATAAAAAAACATCCATAAAATGTTCAGCAGTGACAGTTGGGTTGAAAATACTTCAATATTCTGAAAGAAACTAATTAGGAAATAAAGATTAATCCGCTTGAGCGTGAATTAATTCCCCTCCCCTCCCCCTTTCAGTAATGTTCTTGAGATTATCTCAGGCAATATTTTTATTTAAAAGACAAAAATTTTTTTAAATAAAATGATAAAAAAAGGAAGAATTTCTGGTATTTCAATTAGTCATAGCCACAGACTTTCCATTCTAGTTGGAGGAAGAGGGGGAAGCAATGGACCTCCAAAACAGCACTCGTGAGTTTATATTTTATAAAAAAAATATGAGTGATAACATAATCAACATAATTATTGTAAAATGAACGATATAATAATATTTTGTTCGTATGGGTATATGTGAAAATATGTTAATAAAGCGATTCAAATTTATTATATATTTTTATTTTTATTGAAAGGTTTAGATATTTATTTAAAAGTTCGATTCTTCGATGCTTCAAATTTGCTGCAGGAAATATGATAAAATCTTTGCATAAAAGTGGAAGGATTCACAAGAATGAGAGAGAAAAGCACAATAAAATTGTATGGCTGCTCAACTGTGTTGAGTTGCTAAATCATTCAGCATACTACTCAGTCATAATCAATACCATTTAATAAAATAGAACAAATAGGGTAAAGTATTATGGGATCATCATCCAACGTACCGAATGTTATAATTTATTCATTCAATGTTACAACTTTCTTCTCATTTTCTTCTATCTCACTTTTCTCCACTGAGTCCACAAAAATGAATCCAGAATCAACACAGATGATGGTGTAGAATTCCCAATGAACCCAAAATAATAGATTATGCCATACTCTGCAGATACCTCCTCTCCAACCCCAGCCCTTCAAAAAATCAGCAGTTGAAGGTGCAATCGCTAAAATCCTAGGATATGTTGCTATATATCTTTGAAAATAAACTAAAATTTTATTAATACGAACATAGGGCATAGTAAAATACTCGCATACATTCTTCTAAGCTTTAGCTTATCCATCTAGTCGACTTTTCGTATTTTCTTAATTGATTTTAGTTTACATATTTTATTGATTCATGTAGATTAATTGTTATTTATTTTGAATTTATTTATATTCTTTGAAATATTGGAGAGGTAAAACGATATTCTTGCCCCCTTTCAATTTTTACTGGGAGGGGAGGGAGGCGATCACCCCTCTTCTTAATTTTAGAATGTAGAAAGGTATTAAAATATTATCTGTGATGATATTCAAGTGTACATTTCAAATTTGTATTTATATTAGATTTATTGCAGAAATAATTTTCTTCATATTATAAAAAAAAATCTATGAAAGATCTTGGGTTCAGTATTATTTAGGAAAAGTACTGTTACAAGGCCAACGGTTGTGCAGGGAAGAGATTGGGCCAGGATCATGCTCAACCTTTTCCCCTTAATCAATTATTTGATAAAGAGTACCCACTGTTGTAGTGGCTGGGTCTGCCCCAGGGTTGCCATACGGCCAATGAAACAAAATAAATCATTTTTCTGCCATGAGCTGGGATTTGAACCTGGGACCTTAAGCATTGAAAGCTTAGTGCCCTACCATTGAGCTACCCCGCTCCCTCATATTTTAATAATTATTTTACACTAGAATTTATCATTAAGACAATAAAATATTGTGAATAGCTCCAATTATGTGATGTTGTTACATTAATTTATACTAGTTGGTCTATGTGAATAATTCATACAGTATATTAGTCAGTGATAAAATGACAAATGAATAAGAAAAGAAAATAATGCAACGTACCATAAGATGGAGAAATCAATCTTATTTTCGGGATAATTACAAATGACAAAGGAAATGAACCTTAATTTAAAATTGAATTCTTGTTTTGAACTAAAATGTTTATAGATTTCAATAATCTGTATCTTGGCTCATAACAGTTCGATTTATTTTTTTCTCACCTCCAGGAGAAGGAAACCTTCAAAATGGGTGGACGAATCTTGAATTTCATGTAGAATTAATAAAGATATGGCTTACTGACAAAAAATACCTTTGATAAATAATATAAACTCCTACTCTGTCAATTATAGGGACCTTGAGTCCACGAAATGAGATATTCATATCATCACAGTACTATAATCAATGTGAGATTGTTTGGCTGTGAACCCTTTGCGTTGCATTATCTCGAAAATGGTACATTTTTGGACTTAAAAGCACAGACCCCGATAGTTCCGAAGGATTCTTGGCTTTATAAGATTTTAGTTTTCTGATAGCTACTTCAACTTCTGCTTTACTCGGTTCTTCTATAAACGGTTCAGCACTCTGGTACTCAGAAAAAGGACCCAGATCATTATTTCCCATATTTAAAATATTGTAAAAGTGTTTCTTAAACTTATTTAATATGTCTACCTGACTTTAATATCTCAGTTAAAATAATGTTATTTTCATCAATAATTCCAAACGTGACAGGCCAAAAAAAATGTATGTGATCTCTTTATACCTTTGTACATGTCTCTTACATTATTTTTGACTCTATTAGTTGGTATTTCAATTTTTTTTTTAGATAATATTTTTTTTATCTTTAAGCAATTCAGTCATTTCATTCTTTAACGTTCGGAAGTATTTGAGATTGTCTTCACTAAGATTATTTAGTGTTCTTAATTAAGCAGCTTTTCTTTTATTACACATGCTTAAGCAATCTTAATCAAAATTTGCTCATTTTATTTTCCTTTTTCCCAAGATATGAGTTTCTTACTGACTGCTTTAATATTATCCCTGATTCCTATCCATAATTGATATATATTAGTAATACACGGTGGGCCAGACCCCCTAACCGTGCACCCCCCCCCCCCCCCACATCCCTATAAATTGCATATCATTGTGTTCCTTGTGACAATTTATTAAAAAAAAGCCAATGTTCCCACAAAAAAAAGTGAACGAACTGCCCCAAAATGGCGTCCAAACATGGCGGATTGACGACTTTGACTTTAGTTAGTTTTTTTGTTACTGAAAATCAGCATTTGGCTTAATTTCATTATAGTTAGTCTTTTATTAAAGCTGGATAGTCTGAGAATAATAAAACATGAAGAAATATTAAAAACTAATTGGCTTAGGCATTAAAAAAAATCGGTAAAGTCAATTTTTTTGTTGAAAATCAAGCGTCGTTTGTAATTAAACAGTCAACAATAATGCAAAACATGCTGAAATAAAACATCTGGAGAATACATTTCTCTTTCTAAAACACTGATTACTTTTTAAAATATTTGAAGTAGTTCCGTATAAAATGTTATACGATTCTTGAGTAGACTTTCTTTAGTCTGGAAGAAGTAACCCGAAATGCTTTGCGTACGAAGGCTACAAATGTATTAGAAAATTATATGAAAGGACTGTAGTTTTGTACCTTTACAGGAAATGAGATACTAGGAAATGTTATTCGAGATTCCTTACTGTTTATAGTACCAAAGAAAGTCTACTCAAGAATCGTATAAGCTAAAATTATAAATACTGTCGATTGCCTGAGCGATATGGATTGAGAAACTCAAGTTGCACATTGGAACATAAGTTGCAAATTGGGACTGTCTTCACTTTAAGGCAGGTTATAGAGAAGTCCACATAAAAAGAAAAATAGCTCTTTATCTGCTTAGTGCCTCACACTTTGGATTGATCGAATATCTACTCGTCTTTCACAAAAGCTCGTTTTCCTTTCAGATTCATTCAAAAATCTTTTGCAATTGCACTAAACAGGAGGAGAGCTATTTCCTTTTATCATTAGACCTCTGTATAACCTGCTTCAAAGTGAAGGTAGTCCCAATGTACAACTTCAATAGCAATCTAAAATAAAGTGGTTTACACCATTATCAACCTCGTTTACTTCCTCCAGACCTGCTTGCCAATTGCTTAGAGCAAATCTTTCTTGCTGATAAAGTGTTCTTCACCATAATAAACCTGCTTAATATCATCCAAACTGATCAAGCATTTTTACCCCCATTTAGCAGAATCTTGAAATATTCTGTTCATTTGTCTACTATATATTCGTTTAGCCATATAATGGATACTGATCCTAGTTTTCTTTTCCGAAATTTTGGCACTGTCGTTCGCTTAATGTATTTTTCCAATTTTTGGGTTCAATTTCGCGTTTTCCCTCATTTTGAGACCAAATACTAACAATCAGTTCCAGTTACATAGAAGAACTTATAGCTTCGCCCTTTCCATATTTCATTTGTGTAGAGGGAATAATGCACTTTAATATTAAAAGTTCCTATTTTTTATGATATAGTCCAACTTTCGAATAAAATAAAGGAAATAAAAAAATTTTTTTTTAATAGCGATATAACAATTTTACTAAACGATTGTTTCATCAAATCACCTATTCATTAAAAGCAGTTCAGATTAGGTATATATTATTTTAGTTTATAAAACATATATTAATATGACTCATTTCCGGGGAAGTATATAAAATTTAAATTACCTCTAAGAATCAGTAAATATATAAAACAAAATGTTAAATTGCAAATATTAAATAAAAAAAATCAAGAT